GGCGAAATCAAAGACATCCATATTTTTGTTACTTTACATAGTTTGGTAGTCACTACATTATATTTGCAAAGTTGATACTAGTTTTATGTGAAACTGATACATTTGATTCATTTTAGGGCGAATGAGAACATTATCCTGGCCACCACAAAACATGGAGGACACCTGGCTTATTACGAGGGTATAACTGTAAATAGCTTGTGGCAATTTACAGCTTCTCTCTCTTTCTCGTGTTTTTGCTTCAGGCAAATCCTGTATTCTGCAACATTGAGGGACAGGTTTCCCCTAGTCTTCCTTTTATATTCACATTTTCCTTGCATCATAATAGTTAATACAAATTCTTCTTCCATCACATTCCATCACAAAAGAAAAAGTTAAATAAAGAGAGAACCCATTCCCTGGAGAATCCCATTGTGTACCTGTTTCTGGATCTTACTAGAGGTGTCATCTTAGGACTGATGTGATGTTTCGCGAGGATCTTTGCAATTTGGCCTAATTATTCGATTGTTTCACAGGAAGTTTAGTATTTTTGGTGTGGCTTTGTTTAATTTGAGATATATTGGTAAATTATCCCAGAAAAATGATAAAACCAATGGGATAGATAAAAATTAAGAAGCAAATTTCCATGAATTAAGACCTGTCATATTTACCTAGGACCTAGGTATATCATGCATGTGCAAATGTATTTCAACATGTGACATGTGTTATTGGCGTGTTGCGCTAGAGACCATTCGTGAGTTTATCTAACTGCGCGGTCATGGTATGATATATGATTCTTTGGATTGTGAAAAACAATTACTGTACGATATGCATGGGAGTCATGGTGTGATATATTTCTTCATTCACTTGCAGGTGGGTGAGAGTCGTTGATGAATTCTTTCATGTCTTGCACTCTAGCCCATTGAGAAACAGAAAAGAGAAGGTACAAAATAGTTTACCAATAGCTTAGAGCTAATATACTAAATAAAAATAGCAGAAGAATACCTGATGAGAATACATGACATGCCTCATATTGCAGTTTTCATATTTTATCTTACGATTTGAACCAAAAACCTGGCACTAGGTCCATTTACCTCCTGAGCTTGACAGAGGCTGAAGTTGCATTAAGGATTTTGTTGAAGCCTAATATTTTATCCGGCTGAATTAATGAAAAGTTGAAACTCTTCCTGAGAAAAGAGCGTGTATATAGTTGCATAAAAGAATCAGGAGCTTGATATTTTAGATCTTTTTTTTTTCTTGGAAAGTTGCATTCAAGTTTTTTTTCTTGGAAAGTTGGCATTCAAGATCAAAATGTGAAACTTTTGCAACTAAAATGGAATTGGCTAGTCCAGTTTGGCTGGAATTGGCTAGTCCCAGTTGGCTGCAAGTTTAATATTTTTGCTTTGTATTGTCTTGCAGGTGGAAGAGTGTAGCTCGACTTCCATGCCGCAATCTTCAATTGATCAGGGACCATTCTTGAATGTTATGGAAGGTGGAATGGTGACTGCAATGGGCAACATCACAGACAGTGTAGCAGAAGAAACGTGCAATGGAGATGGGGATCATGTTAAGAAGGGAGAAGAAACCATTTCTGACAGAGAGAGGAGTGATAATATGACAGATAAAATACCTCCTATAATTAATGACAATCAACAATCAGATCAAAATCTCAATGATCTAATAGTTCCTATGAGAAGATAAATGGGTCAGCTCTCGAAGCGAAGTGGGATTTCAATCTGGCTGCTTGTATACATTGCAATTGTAACAACTTGGCCGCTGGCAGGCTCAGCTCTTCTTTTGTTCATCAAGAAAAGGTTCAAAAGCATAATTCCAGCAGCATTGCTTAGAAGATAACACACTATCACAATTATGGAAGATAACACACTATCACAATTATGTACTAGATATATTATAGGCATGTTGAGAGATTCCTACCTGATAATTGACAATTGGGTCTAAATATTGATTTATAAGATGTACTATCTTCTTAAGGATAATAAATATGCTAATTGCATCTCATAACAAATCGATGGGAACTTCTTGCCTAATATTAGGAAAACATTTTCCTTAGAAAAAGTTATTTTTTGGGAATAAACGGAGCTTTTTGATAATATAGAATGTAGATATATAATTAACAAAAAATAAGAATCTCAATTTTTTACAATTAAACAAATACAATTAGATGTCATTTAGAAATTTTTTCATCATAAATGTATTGTATCTGCCGCTACTGACTTGACGCAAGCTTTCTAATCAAGACGAGTGATTAAGGTTGGAAGTTAACAATTATATAAATGGCAGATGTTATCTGAGTTTTTTATTGTAAAATTTTATATATATTAAACACTTTCAACGTGGAGAAATTACTTCTATTAAGCAATTCAACGTATAAAAGTTTTATTAAATATTTATCAAATAATTAAAAAAATAAAACAAAAAGATGCATAAAATATTACTTGTCAAATATACATTCACTTGAATCGGTAGAAAATGATTTTTTTTTTTTTTTTTTAACTTTTTTTTTTTAACTTTTGAAGCTTGCATATGGATTGATTCCTATATAACGTGATCTCTTTTTTTTTGATGCAAGTGTTATTCATTTATGATTTGTTCTTTATCCTGTTTTATTATTACCTTAAATCTAAATAAAGCCATTTAGGTTCTGGCAATTTAATTTTAGCAAAGTAGAGGATATATTACATATTACATTGAGTATGGTTTGGTTTTCTCTGTGAAAGAAGGAAATAAAACCACATGAAAAAAAAAAAAGATAAAGAAAAAAATAAATGAGTAATTGAATGTGTGTTAATGTTATTTCAGTCTCATTACAGCCATATTTTGTCGTGGGTCTCTCCAACATATGAGACCCATAACCTTTGACAAAGAAAAAAAAAAAGGAAAACGCTGATAAAATTAGACGCGTTAATAACGCGTCTGGTCGGTGTATGCGTTAATAATGCGTTTGGTCGGTGGACGCGTTAATCAGCCATATTTTGTTATGGATCCCTCTGATATATGGGAACCATATCCTTTGACAAAGAAATAAAAAAGAAAATGTTGATAAAATTGGACGGGTTCTATTAACGCGTCCCCTTCTCCTATAGTGAGCACTTTGAACTTGACTTTAACCTTTTTTCTTTATTTAACCTGTTCTTTTATCCTTTTTATTACCTTACAAGCTAATAAGCATTAGGTTCTGGCAATTTATTTAGAAAGAGGGGATGTATTACATTGAGTATGGTTTGGTTTTCTCTTTGTGAAAGGAGTAAATAAAACCAGATGAAAAAAAAAAGATAAAGAAAAAAATAAATGAGTAATTGAAAAGAAAAAAATAAAATGAGTAATTGAATGTTGTTAATGTTATTTCGGTCCCTCATTACAATCATATTTAGATCTTTTGATTTATTGTTATGTATATAATACTAGTATATACCCGCACGATGTTACGGACTATATAATTTTTTTTAATTAAATTGAAATGTAATTTTTAAATAAAATTAATTGTAATTTATATTTGCGTTGCTTTAATGTAAATAATTTGTTTATGTATTTTTGATTAAAACATGAAAAGTAAAATTAATAAGCTCTCTTTTTTGGAAATTCTCATTAATGAACTAAATATTAATTAGCAACAAATTAACTAATTCGTGAGTAAATTATTTGTAATTCAACCTATATAGTTTATTTTTTTTTTTCTCTTTAAAATTCACATATGTTCAAATTGGATAGAGGTATAATAAGAATATTTAATTTTAATGAAATTAAATTTTAGTGAATTGAAATCAATATTTTAATTTTATTTGTTAATGTAACTACATTATTCAATTAATCTTTTATCCAAATATGACTTTATTATAACTAACTCCATTAGTTTTTAATTTGACAGAAAAAAATTATTTTTATAAAATTTAATAGTTTATTAAATGTAAAAATATTAATTGTAATAAAATCATTCATTAAAATTTATTAGTTTGTACTCCATTATTTAATGAAAAACATTTAATATTATTAATTATATTGAAAAAAAATAAATGACACATTAATCAGTTTCAACTTCTAATATATTGCCTATATAAGTTATTTATATCTTAAAAAATTAATATTATTTCTATAGATAGATAGTACACGATCCATACAATTAGAGATTCAATATAAAAAAAAATTTTAATTTTTAATAAAGTTTTAGCGGCGTTTTAGAACTGTCAATTCATCCCGAAGAAAAATGCTAGGGACATTTCCACTAACCTACCCATACAATTAATAACCGCTATGAAAATGGCATTAAGGATCTATTAGACTAACCCAACAATTAATACCGCTATGAAATGGCATTAAGGATCTATTAGAGTCTTCAATTTCTAGATTTGCATGTTTATTAGGGTTTGAGACAAACAAATCTCATTTAGTCTTTATTGCTCTTTTGTAATTTTCTTTTACACGATGTTCGTTTAAAGATTTCGCAACTATGGATTTTTATTATAAAGTTAATTGACATGATATTGATCGGAATATTTATAACTTTTTTGTCAAAAATATTATCGAGACCTTTCACTCTCCATATTTTCTATATTTTGTAGAAAGATCGATCAGATCATAACTGAATGATGTTAAATTTAAATGTTTGATTAGTAATTTATCAGAAAAAATAAAGTTTTTAGTATTTATGTCTCATCTTTACTTTTTCACATTCACGACGGTATTTTCTCGTCCCAAAAGTTGAAAAAAATTATATTTCTATAGAAAATAAGACATTTTAAAATTATATAATAATATTTATTTGTTTCAAAATATAATTCGTTTTTGTGTGATTATTTTATTCCAAACTATAAGTTATTTCGAGTATTTTAAGGAGTAATAAATGATGTTTTTCTAATGTTATCCTTATAGAATAACTACTTTCATAAGAGTAACTATCGGTATTGAGATAAAGGATAATTTAACCAAATTATCATTGGTTTTGTTTTATTAGGAACATTAATTACTTCCTTAATCATTGTAAAAAAACTTAAATGACTTTTATTTTGGGACAGAGAAAGTAATATTAATTGTCATAATTATGCTATTTTCTCAGAAAATTTTTATGATTATCTTACGATAATTAAACTTTGTTATAATAATTTCTTGGAATTCTATTTTTCTTGGAAAATATTTTTCCATAAAAAATTGAATTTCGGTGAATAAGTTTATCTTACCTCACAATAGTTGAAATACTCAATTTTATTTAAATAATTAGATTTCAGAAAAAAAAAAATAGTAACTCAAACTATTAGCATAAACTTGCAAATTTTACGGTATGAAGGATCTTACATGCGTGAGATAATCCGAGATAATCGCATCGTGCTATTGCTATCAATCCAATACTTAATAGTAACTTATACTCAGGGTATTATTATTTTTTTTTCGGGTATAATCGATCTTCTTGAGTGTAAAAGTCTTTTGTGCTCCCAATAAAGTGCGGAGCACGCTTTTTGAGAATCAAATTTGTATTCTCATTTTTTCGAGGGTTGAAGTCGATTATCACTTTAATCAACACATTGTTAATGATATTTATTTAATAAATTTAATAACGAACAATTAAAGAAAAAAAAGATTATAAATTTCTTTTTTAATAAAAAAATAAAATAGCAATAAGGCTAACCAGATGTATAGTTTAGTTAATTTTTCTTATAACGGTGAGCAGAATGAGTTCGGAGTCTTTACAATTAAAAAATCTTTGCTAATTATTATGAAATTATAAAGATATTTGTACCGTGACTCATGACTGAACGGAGCAAAATTTGTATCATATATAACTAAATAGTGGGCCAAAATAGTGAATATGACATTGTAAAGATAGGTCAACCTGGTTGAAAAGAAACGACGAAAGGAACAATTGAACATATACATAGGAAGGGGACGTAGGAGAGGCACATGCATTTGTCTAATTTAGTCAAAGTTTATATCTTTTTGGTTAAAAATTTATCTCTTTGTTAAAGGCCAAAAAAGAGTAATTTATTTCTCTTTGTTAAAGGCCAAAAAGAGTATTTGTAGACCCATTTTTATCATCTTCCCAACTTCTTTGTAAATTTATTGTTTTGTTTTTCATTAAAATTAATAAGCATTTTTAGGGGTTTCTTAGAGGGAGACAAAAATGTCCATGGTTTCTTAGAGGGAAAAAAATGTCATGGTTAATAGAAGAATATAACAAAATAACAATAAAAAGATGTAGCAATATAATAAAAGAGGAGAGAGAGAGAGATGAGAGGAAGAAGATGTAGCTCTAAGATGAGATTTTTTTATAATTTTTCATTGTTTGGGGCATTCAAGAAAATAAGTAAAAAGAAATTATTTTCTTGGTCAAATAAAAATCAAATCATTTTGAAGAAAAATGACTTCTCATTTTTAAGACTTTAAAATATTTTTCTGACATTAATAAATTTATTATAACTTTATAATTTTTAATTTATTAACCATCGGTAGCTATTACTATCACTTACCATTCACCACCAATTCATACCATCGTCCACTATCATCGGTCAATGACATATTTCATAATTTACTTTTTTCTGTATTCTTCTCATATTTAACAATAAAATTTTTAAAATACGAAATTTCTATTACTGTTATTAATATTTTTACGGTCTTATGAGTTAAAATTTTAATATTTTTAACTAATTTTTAATATTACAACCAAACAACGAAAAAAAAATCATTTGAAAAATATTTTTCAAGAAAAAACATCATGTCTTCCGAAAATAAATGTAACCTAAGTCGTTACGTCTTTTCTTCCTCCTTCCATGTATAAGTATAAAATATTTCTTTCAATTTTCTTTTTTGACTATTGCAATAATGGGGTTCATATTGTGTCTTTCTTTCCCCTTTTCCTCCCTCTTTCCATGAATAAATACAAAAATAGTCACTATATTTTTTTTGCCTATTAAAATTATGGGACCCATAAGTATATATATTAATTATTAATTTGTTATTTGTTAAAGTAAATTTATATAATAAGTTACCTATCATACAATTTATCATTTCAAATGATAGTTTTAACATGTATAATGGGCAGTAATTATATTTTGATTATCAAAACATTAACGATATTAACGATGAATCCTTTGATTTTTGAGTAACTAAATAGATTAATTAATAATATAATATTTTTGATGATTGAAATATTTCTTGAAATTTTCAATTATGACCAGGAGTCACGTAATTATCTAATTGTGATTTAAAAAAATTATTAAATTATAATTGTCAGGTCAATTTTTCTCGGTATTTAGACTTGATCAGTAATTGGATTCAATTGAAATAACTTTTACAAGTGAGCTATTAACTGTAATTATACAAATCGAGCAAAGCTCTGCTTCCACGCACTAAAATGTCTCTCTTTGCTATGCTCTCGCATCGCTTCACTTTTCTCTCTATCCCACTTCCACTCGCTCACTTTGTTAAAGTTTCTTTGAAGTTTCTGTGATGATGACTCTCAAATCTCAATGGTTTAGCTTTATATATACTCTTCTACGTTTTATAAAACTCGCCTTTTATTGCTTCTTGTATCATTTGAATTTTCCGCTATGGGTTCTTTTTTCTCTTCTTCTGCTTCGACCTCTTCCCAGCGAACCCCTTCTTTTATCATTAATTCTATTGCTGCTTCTTCTCCTTCGTCAACCTCTTCCCAGCAAAACCCTTCCGAGCCAAATAACCGCGAAGTTTTTATTAATTTCAGAGGCAAAGACATCCGCGACGGTTTTCTCTCCTTTCTCTTTGAATCTTTGAAGGAAAAAGGAATCGATACCTTCAAAAGGAATCGATACCTTCAAGGATGAAACCATACCTTCAAGGATGAAAACCTTAAAAAAGGAACTGAAATAACACCAGCCCTCAAGCAAACAATTCAAGAATCATGTATTTCAATTGTCATATTCTCCAAAAACTATGAAATTTTCTCCATGGTGCTTGGACGAGCTTGTTGTGATAAATGAATGCAGAGAAAAGTCGGGGCAAATAGTTTTGCCAGTTTTTTACCGTGTAGATCCAACTGACGTTCAAGCGCTGAGAGGCCCTTTCGCAAGTGCACTTGCTAGGCTTTTAAAAGATCCCAGCGATAGTTCACACAACCTGGGTGGATGGTGCCATGCTTTGAAGACAATCAGCAACGACTTAAGTGCTTTTGTTTCGAATGAGATCAAGTAAAGCTATCATTTTTCCCTGTTTACTTTTCCATGTCTTTTTATTTTCTATTCATCAATAATAGATCAATCTTGCGCACAGAATAGATGGCTTTTAGTCGCGATATCTACTCCTTTGAACTCTCACTTATTTTTATTTTCTTGTTAAAATTCTGTTTCATTTTCTCCTATTCCTTCAATCATGGTATTTACCCACCCAGTTTTTCCAAACACTTAATTGATTGTATTCTAGAATATATAAGTTTTGGCTTACTTTTTATCTTTCATATGTGATCAGAAATGACCAAATGCTAGTTCAAAGAATCGTCAATCGTGTTTCAGAAATATTAAGTCATATGCCATCAAATGCTAGTTACCATGACAAGTTAGTTGGAATCGATTCGCGTGTCGAGGAAGTAATATCGTTATTGGATATTGATGTAAATGACAGAAATTGGAATTGGGATAATGAGGAATGTTGGGGAATGGCTGGCTATTGAAAAAGACAACTCTTGCCGGCATTATAGTTTGTTTATCCCAAATCAAGGGCTAAATTTGTGCCCACTGCTTTGTTCTTGTTTCAAATGTCAAGGAACAGATAAGGAAGGAAACAGCAATTGTTTTACGGGATAAAATCATTGGTTCACTATTGGGGGACGAAAATTTGAAAATAGGCACGCCTCTTTTAGTTTTAGATGGTTGGATTATGAGAAGGCTACAACGAAAAAAAGTTCTTATTGTTTTTGATGACGTTGATGATTCAAACGATTTAGATCTTCTAGCTGGAAACTGTAGTTTGTACCGTAAGGGAAGTAGAATCATTATAACTAGTACAGATAGACAAGTACTTAAAAATGTTTGTCACAAAGAACATATTTATCAGGTTGAGGGATTAATTGATAAGGAAGCTCATTAAGGAAAAGGCTCTTCAAAACTCTTGGAGCTTGCACGCTGTTCAAACAAAATGAACCGAAAGAAGGATACGTGGAGCTATCGAGCAAAGTGAATAAGTTCAATGCTCAAAGTTATGCTCAAGGCAATCCATTAGCACTGAAAGTTTTAGGCTCTAGCCTTTATGGCAAGGAGAAAGAGTACTGGGAGAGCCAGTTGCTCAAATTGAATAGCATCCCGAACAAGAGAATTCAAGATGTTCTAAAACTAGGCTATGATGGGTTAGATAGAAATGAGCAGAGCATATTTCTGGATATTGCATGTTTCTTTCGACGAGCATTTGCCCTGTTAAAAAAAAATAAGCTTGAAAAAATAATGGAAAGTTTTGGTTTCTTTGCGAGTTGTGGAATAAGGAGTCTCATTGATAAATCTCTCCTAACCATTTTAGGAAGCTATGTAACAATGCATAACTTACTGCAACAAATGGGAAAGGAGATTGTGAATGAGGAATGCAAACAGCCTGGAGGACGCAGTAGGTTGTGGAATCGTGAGGACATTTCTCATGTATTCAAAACAAATACAGTAAGGAATCGTGAGGACATTTCTCATGTATTCAAAACAAATACAGTAAGGAGCAAAATTTGCTACATTTTTCTTTTGTTTTTCTTTTTATATTTGAACAATTGAAATTTGAACTTACCGCTCCACATAATTAGCTTTTATTTTTAAATATTTTATATTCAATTACCTATTTTCATTTGTTGTTAATTTATCAGGGAACTGATAAGATTGAGTGCATTTCGTTTGAGATGTTGAATGCTGGAGCTTTTGAGATAAGTTCCAAAATTTTCATGAAGATGCCTAATCTTAAATTCCTCAGTATCTATGACTCTGAATTGATTTTGCCTGATGGCCTTGATTTTCTTCCGGAACAGCTGAGATATTTATCTTGGCATCGTTACCCTTTGAAATCGTTGCCGTTGAAGTTTTGCCCAAATAACCTTGTACAACTTCACCTGCCTGAAAGCCAACTCAAACAACTGTGGGATGGAGATAATAAGGTATATTTCCTAAACTTTAATATTTGTATTTGGTGTAAATGAACTTATAACATAATAAGATGTAGTTTGATATTAACTTATACTTAGCTGAGTTAAAATTTATAAAAATGGTTTGATATTTTAAACTATACGTAGCATGGAAGTAAAATGGTTATTATTTGGTGTAAATGAACTTATAACATAATAAGATGTAGTTTGATATTAACTTATACTTAGCTGAGTTAAAATTTATAAAAATGGTTTGATGAGAGTGGCGGATCATGAAAGAATATCATAAAAAGAAATAATATGTTCTAATCATTTAAGTAATGCTTATTCTTAAATGCATTTCTAAGGAAATAGATTTTAAAATTTTCTTAATGAATCATTTACAAATGTTTTATGTCCAATATATTTTTTACAAATTGGTCTTTATATAGTTAAAGGTCAAATCATTGAATTAAACGAGACTTTTTAATTTCGTCTTAAATTCTAAATATTAGTGATGAGTAATAAAAATTTTGATCAACCAATATATGATTAGTCTAAATTAGAGAAATTCAAATGTTAAGAATATACTTTGACTTATTTAAAAAACAGATGATGTGTTAATTAATCTTCATACTTTAAATTGGCTTATTTTAATTTTGGTATTTGTACAGACAATTATATTAAAATACAATTTTTAGAATTTATTTTTTGTATTATTATTTTTTGGATAAATAACGAATATATGTAAAACATGCAATTTTAATAATTCATATTCTTACTCTTTTTATTACAGCCTTTTAAAAGTTTGGAAGTTATGAACCTCCAGAGCTCTCTGTCTTTATTGAGAATTTCGGACTCGTTTCAAGCCCCAAACCTTGAGGAATTACGTTTGTCAAGTTGTAGCAGTTTAATTGAGATTCCTTCATCTCTTAAATATTCAACCAAGCTTGTTCGGCTACACTTAGACTACTGTGTAAGTATTCGCAGTTTGCCAAGCTTCCTTCAGTTAGAAAATCTTGAGATTCTTGATCTTCGAGGTTGCAGTAAACTTGACGAATGTCCTGAGCTTCCTTGCAATTTAAGGGATTTAAATTTAAGTGAAACTGCAATAAAACAATTGCCTTCATCAATTGGACATTGCTCTCAACTTGTTGAATTATCGTTAAGTGAGTGTACAGAGCTTGAAAATCTTCCAAACTGCATTGGCCAGTTACAATCTCTAATCTTCTGACGAGAAACTTGACGCAACAGGAAGTGGCATAAATTTTAATGGATGTAAAGGTTTGACGGTATGGCCTTTGTTGTCCGGTTTGAATAGCCTACAGAAGCTTTATCTAGGTAACTGTGGCACATCAGAAATTCCGGAGAGTATTGGATCATTAGTTTCATTGAAAGAGTTATATTTAGACGGAAACGATTTCGAAAGCATTCCTGCAAACATCAAACAACTCTCTAACTTGGACATTCTTATGCTGCATGATTGCAAGAGGCTTAGATATTTGCCAGAGCTTCCAGGCACAAGGTCATTTTCTGCATTAAATTGCACCTCTTTAGAATTTGTATCATTTTCGTCCTTTTCCAAAGCAAAAAGAGGAGATGCCCGTCGGTACACTAATCTTAATTTTGGTAACTGCATCAAATTGGGTCCAAAGCAAAAAGAGGAGATGCCCGTCGGTACACTAATCTTAATTTTGGTAACTGCATCAAATTGGGTGATAATGTACGTCTTCAAATTACGGAAGCTCTGTTCTCAGCACAACAAGGCCAGAACGTATGTTTCCTTTCTCTAATATTAAATTAATAAAGAAGTCCTTATTTAAAAAAAATGTTAATTAAGATTTTGGATGATAAACATCAATGGATTATTTTCCTAACTTGTGAATTTCATAATTAATTTGTGCTTTGACAAGGGAAGAGAGATAAACATAATATATCATCTTACCATAAAAAAAATATCACAAAAAGATTTCAATAGTTATTATAAGTGTTTTTTAAAATTTGTGTTTAAATTATCCATTTACTCATTCATCAGCTATTTAAATTCAACTCTATCGTTAATTAATTATGATATTCTTTAACAAAATATATTTTCATGGAGCAGGACTATCGATTATGTATCCCTGGGGTGGAAGTGCCGCAAAGTATGAAATATCGAACAAGTGGGTCTCATCTTTCAGTTCAGTTGGAAAGGCCTGATTGTATGTTGGGTTTTTATTTTTCTGCTGTTATTGATTTCCAAGATTTTGATATATATGAAATTTCGGGTTGTGGGATCTTCCAAGATAAATCTGGAAAGACGTATGAGTATGACTTTGACTTTAATTCTATATATTTTGGGCGGTTTAAGTTAGATTCAAAACATGTGTTCCTTGGGTATCAAACTTTTGAGCATGAAATGAATTTCACTCGAGTCTCATTCCAGCTTAATCAACGTGAATATTTAAGGGATGAGAGGGTGATCAATTGTGGCATTCATCCTATATATCGGGAAGAATACAGGAAAGCGGAAAGAAGGAATAAAAGAAGGAAAGAATCGGACAAGGATATAGTACAGGCGGCAAACACTGAATTATGGGAGAAGAATTCAAGACAAAGACTCTGATTAATGTCAATTAGTATGGCAAATGGAAATTGACAATAGGTAAAGAAATTTCTAGTTTCTGTGTGTTTTACTTTGGGATTTTGGTTGACTTCGGTTTTCAATCACAGCATCACAGCAGTGAAGAGAATCAGTTTATTATTGGCTGTTACTTGGGTATTAGCACTCGTAATAGCTAATCTATTTCTAAGTTTCTGCAGTTGTACGTTGGCATTGTATCTTAAGGGCTTGTAGTTGTACGTTGCATTGTTTCTTAGGGCCCTTGTTTGCAGTCTTGCTGGAAAGATCTTTTATCATGTTTGTAGTTATCCTAATGGCTTGTAATTATTTGCCTCTTAGTTGGAGTTTTGGGAGGAAGTAAAGATTGATCTTTAAAAAACGATGTTTGCTTCGTTTCAAAATTGATCTTAACCAAATTTTTAAAATTGGTTAATTATTATCAAGCATACTCGACATAAATATTTCTTTGATCTGTATGCTATATACACCCTAAAAAAAAAAATAAAAAGAAAAACCTATCAAGTCTATTGTTTTTCTTTCTTTTTATTTATTTAATGTATTATGCAGTTTCAAATACAGTAGATAATAAGATTATGAACTATATAATATAATACCCCTCTTTAATTCATTAAATTATAAAAAATTTTATAATAAGATTGATAAAATCGTACTTGATTAACATTTTTATGAAATTTTAAAAATATTTTTACATCTAAAAATATTTCTTATTTAGAAACTATTTTCATTTATGAGTCACTTTTTATAATTTCAAGTGATTTCACATGAAACTATGGAGTGCATCATTTCCATATGCACAAAGCATGTTAAATAATTCCTTTTATGCTCTGTATACAAGTTGAAACTTAATTATTGGAAATATGGAATTATTAATGAGTTCATTCTAATTACCCATATTAATATGAGGGTTAAAAATACTTATCACCAAGAGCATAATTCACAATAAATGAAATTATTCATGAAACTAGCAAATAAAGTGCTGCTCGTGAAATATGAAAGGAGATTAATTTTGAATTCCAGTGAATACTTGCAAACCACTAATTGATGTTCGATCTCTAAATTGAATAGCATAGCAATTAAACTCGGTCCAATCTTTTACTAAAAGGATTGAGCTGAATTACATCCAAATCCAAATCTTAGAAGGCCTAATCTCAGATGAGAATTGAAGACCTAATCAATCGAATGATAAATATCGCCTAATCTCAGATGAGAATTGAAGACCTAATCAATCGAATGATAAATATCACACACTTGGCCATAATCACTATCCCCAAACAACCATTAAGGAAAACGTTTTAGCTATTATAAATTAGACCCCCAAAGCGGAAAATGGCTCCACCTACTCCAAAACCAGATAAAAGAATGTCGTCTAAGAAAAAATTTATGTTTCCAAGTGTTGCATTTTCATACATTCAAAACTCTCAAAGATGGGAAATGTAGACTATGCTAAATTAATCAAAACAGTAGCTAAAAGTACACTTCTTGAGATCATAGAACTGAGATACCTATGGAAGCCAAAGAAACAGGTAAAATATGATTGGATTGAGGGAAGAATGTAAAAAAGTAACTTCCTGAATGCCCAATTAGAGGATTTAATATCTAGTGAGCTCGGGTCATCTTTACTTTTGGCATAGCTTTCTTCATCTGACGGGCACGCTCTTTTGCCTCTCTCTTGCGAATAGCTTCTGCACTGAGCTTTGCTTCAGCCTCCTCTTGCATCTTCTTCCTCTCTGCCTTCTTTCTCTGCAGCATCTTCTCTCTGCCGTTCTTTCTCTGCAAGGCTTTCTGTTCTTGTCTTGCATCCTGAAGTTCTTTGTTAGTGCCTCCTGGGCAGCTTTCACTCTAAGCTGCCTCTAGTTTTCGATCGGCCTGCAGGTTTTCGATCGAGCCTGCAGAAGGCAAAGCAAAGTTTCAAGACCATTGAATTTTGCAAATTATCATGTTGAAAAAGGCAAGTATAACATGACCCACCCACCTGTGAACTCAACTTGTAGCGCCCAATTAGATCAATGTAATAAGGAATAAGCGCAACCAATCTAGTCATATCAGCCATGTTATTGGCATTAGGAAGTGCAAACTTAAACAACAGCATCTTCTTGTGCACTCCAAGGTGTTGATCAGAAAAATGCATGGAGATGAAACCCTTGCCATATTTCTCAAAAGCTTTTTCACCAAAAACCTGCAGAATTTCAAATTCACTTCATATTGTAAGTTCATTAAAGCTAAGTTTTCATTAAGAGCAGCTTTTTCACCAAAAACCTGCAGAATTTCAAATTCACTTCATATTGTAAGTTCATTAAAGCAACATAATAAACATCATTCTGACCATGAGTTAAATTGCATGGGAAGTCCTATGATGAACTTAGGCAGGAGAAGGTAATGAAAATAACTCTGTATCATGTCACATAAACCTAAAATAAGAAACCATATATTAGTCAATGATACTAATAATGGCAATAGGAATGGAACCAGCTAACAAGATAATTATACAGGTTTCCCACATTAAAACCAACAATAAGTCCTGTCAAATATACAGCTCAGTCCTAACTTTCGACAAACTAGGACAAATAAGTTCTCTGGCAACAACATTCATCTAAATGTTGATATAAGAAGCTCACATTTAGAAAAATGCTACATGCTCCTGTTTTTTTCTTAATAAGAAAAAGCAAATCATGGCGTAGTCTATATCAAAATTGTGTATTGCATTTATTTTGTTGTGGAAAGCAGATGGTGCATGTTAGGTTCAAGAATGACTCAATCTTTTGGTTTATTAGGTCAGAAACTGAGGATGGAACAACAAACAAATTCAAGCCAGTCACAGTGTAAGAGAACAGTAAACTATAGCTCTATTTTGTCCTCTAGTCTCTCTTTACTCTGGAGATCATCACAACAACTCAATACTAGGATGCAAAATAAAAGTCCATTCCATCTTTGTAAAGCATAGATCTAATTAACCACTGTAGTTCTATCAACCATAATTACTCCAAATACGGGACCAAGATATGTGTGGCTCTTCATGCTCGGTCACTGAACCACTAACACAATTCCACTTATAAAAGAAGTTACAATATTGATTGGCAGGAGAAAATGACAAAAATGTGGAGGTTATATTCTAATCAACTTTTCAGTCCTTCCCAAACTTATGGCACACAAACAGATTTCTATTCACTTCCCAAAGTCCAGTTACCTAGGGCCTCTCAAAACAAAACATTCTATGACATCTAAAGATGTAAGTAATTTTTTCATTGTCAAAGCCATGCATGAATTCTGTTTAACTCCCTGCATGTATCAACAACAAGCCAAGACGATCCTAGCAAAATAACTGAAAAAAGGGGAGGCAATGCTAAATAATCATTTTTGATAAGCAAGCACTTTGTCAAAGAAGAAATAGTTCCTAATCACAAAGGTTCCAGGGCCTTTCCATAGAATATAAGAAGATACTAATTGCAAAGAAAGTGGAATTTTCCACAATAATAGCAAAGCACTCCATGCTAGATTCATAAACAATGCTCTACATTAATCAACAAGGTGCGCCTAGCATAAACATTAAAAAAAAGGAATGAGACAGCTTCACTGGATAATAAGCATACAATCACCTTAGCTCTTATATACAATGTTATCTAATCAAAATAGCCACAAAACTAAGTCATTCTTATTAAATTTCAAATTCTATGGCATTCCCCGTTCAGGACCACAGTTTCCAGGAAACACATGGCGTCTCTCTCCTGTAAGCCAAACTTGCCTAGCAAAGATAGTGCATGTAATCCAAGACAAGACTCCTATGGCATTACTGAGGATCTAATAGAAGAGATATTCAATAGAACCTCAAATACAAATTTATTTCGCTCTAAAATATAATGGCTAACAAGATGATCAGTAATTAGGACATTAATTCATATCAAGACAACAAGATATTAAGTTTGAGTCAAGATAAAAGGGAATATTAACCATAAAACGACTCAATAAGATAACTAGAGAACCTAAAAGTTATGGACTATGGAGTATTAAACTTTGAAATACTTGAGCTCACATATCAAGATCAGTGTGAATAACCAAATACTCCCCACCCTCACGTCATGTAACAAGGCATAATCAAGCTAAAACACTATATAAGATAACTAACCCACTTAAAATAGAGAACATCTTCAAACCAAAAAGAGATAGACCCAGACCCTAGCCTTACATGATAAAAAGCATCAACAAAGTTGAGCGATATTACCAAAAAAAAATATGACATATATATTCAAACTATGCAAAGTATGAGATCAATTAATTCAATCGATAACCCTTGCCTCAATGCACCATCACTGTGCAGTGATCAAACTCCCATGCAACATCCTCCTTTCAGTGACTACTGTCTCATAAGTAAACTCGCCCAACTCCCAGACATCAAGCCTCCATTTTCCTACCCCACTAGGTTGTAGTAGCCCAAGAAGGTCCTCCGACGAAATTTCTCTGCCTCCACTTAAATCTCCCTCAACTCTCCCTTTTTGCATCCCTTTTGGCTGCCTTTTCCTATCCTTCTGCCTCACGCGTAAATTACAAACCCAGTGATCCCTAATACATGACATGTCAGTGCGTATACTCCTCTCTGCAACATACATCACTATCTTCATTCATATACTTACTTCAAAAGTATATCTCCATTATCCGTTGCAAGGACCACTGATCATAAATTATAAAACCCTCTTTCCTCCCACTAGGTGGTTGTGCAAGAAGCCCCGCGAATCTCTGCAAATCCCTCACTTCCTTTTGCATCCCTTTGGCTGCCTTCTTCTTTGCCAGCGCGAAAACCACGTGATCCATTGCATCATCATTCATATACACTTCAAAAGTAATCTCATCCTTGCAAGGCACGATCATATTATAAACCCTGGAAATCAAATCGTGCCTGCTCTTCAACTCCATTGTAGCCAGTAATCCTTGACAGTACCTTCGACCACTAGCATAAAATTTAAAAATATTTTGCCCTTCTTTCAACAGTAGTGGTGAATCGTCACCTTCTCCTACTCCTAACAGACTAAAATTCTTCTCAAATATCGAATCTTTAGTAGCAAATTTCGCTGCCCAAGATAGTGCCAAGTTCTCATTTTCGCGTTTACCAGTAAAGTAATTGATAATAAACATTATCAAGAAAGAAACGCACACAATCTCCACTGTATAGGATTGCTTCTTAGTTGATATCGGTTTCGGTTTCGGATCCATGCTTTGATTATCAGTCGGAGTGGTAGATTCGGTAGTTTTAGAGGTTTCGAGTGGCGGTTGTTGAACAGGTAGACCTTCGAATTCATCTTCATCCCAGTAATCAAAGGTGGTTGTTGATGCTGGAGATGAGGGTTTTGGAGGATCCGATTCTGGATTCGACGAGGGAGTATCCGGATTGGAATTCGGGTTCGGTTCAGAGTTTTCTGATATGGGATCTGGTATTGGTGTTGATGGTGAGTCGGAGCGAGTTAATTTAAGATCGGTAAGTTTAAATGAAACAGGGTCTATTGTTTCCTCAACGACCTCCTCTTCCTCGGCTTCGAAACCCTCAAAGTGGGAATCGGCGACGGCATAAGAGTGAGAGAGAACGAGAAATAAGAGAGAAAAGAGTGAGAGGAACCGCAAAAGGGAAGCGGATCGAGCCATTGCGGTGGACAAGGCTCCCTCTTTAGAGAGATGAAAAATGTAATATTTGGGGTGAGCTTTCTAGAGAGATAATAAGGTCGTAGCAGACGGTTGTTGGGACGGTGGAGAGAGAGTCATTGATGACGGAAGAAACGAAGGAACTGATCGTTGATGATTGGCAGAGATAAAGAGTACATTAGATGCATGCAACTGCTACTTGTACGTTGGTGACGTGGACTGGACAAAGTTCGAAAAGTTTTAATTTCTTGAGATGCAAATTCTTTTTGTTTTTTTCATTAAGGAATTTTGAGGAAAGATTAATTCTAAAAAATTTAAAATTAATTAAAAATAAAAACATAAGTCTAGAATATGTTTTATGTACATTTTATATTTAATACATTACCATTTTATTACATTTTTGAAGATATAGATAGACAAAGATATCAAAAAGAGTATAAGTTTGCAAAAAAAAAAAAAAAAGTTGAACGATACTCAGATAGACAAGACGATATCCAAAAAGTACTGCACGAGAAGTATTAATGTTTCGTCAAACAAATAATATGAACAAAAACAGATTAAAGATTTTGAAATAGTATAAACAAATAAAAACAATTCTTATTCTTTTTCCAAGTTTAATATTTATGTTCCTTTCAAATTTTATCTTTTCCAAGCATCTTATCACCTTTCTAACCCTATTAAAAGTCTGGGGGACAGAAACATTGAATATTGTTTATATCTTTCTTTTTGAGTATCTCAGAAGTCCTTATTTTATTCTCCTTATCTTGTTCAATTCAATAAATTATTGTCGTTCACACTTTCCCTATCTTTTTTGAGACCTTATATATAAAGAAATCAAAAAGTATTCGTCCAATTATTTCAATTTTAAATGGTGATTCAAAGTGTATCATTTCAATTGAAATCATTCTCACTTTACATTTAAAAAATTTATTATATATTTTTTAGATTTTTCAGTATTTATAATTCGCATAAACTTTCATATTAGACAAAACCCATAATTAAAATAATATACCAAAAAAGAAAAATTAAATCATGAGATGCCCCGTTGACACATTACATAAAGAAAATAAAATAAAGCTTATGTAATTAATAAATGGACAATAACCCATATTTATATAAAACAACCCTCATTTTGTTAGTTTAATTTTAAATCCATATGTTTATTTACTCAGTTTTTTATGCAAAAAAAAAAAAAAAAGATTAAGATTGAAAAGTAATAAAAAAATTCTATTTTTTTCAAGTTTTAATATTTTTGTTCCTTCAAATTTATCTTTCAAGATTTATCACCTTTTAACCTATTAAAAGTTGGGAAGAACATTGATTTTTTTTTTTTCTTTTTGAGTTTCATTATTTTATTTAGGTTATTTTATAATAATTACTGGTCACCTTTCCTTACTTTTTGAGTATAGTAAAAAATCAAAAGATCGTCCAATTTTTTTTCAATTAAATGGTTAATTATCATTTCAATTTGAATCATCTCACTAATTTAAAATATTATTATATTTTTAGATTTTAGTATTATAATTGGTTCATAAATTTCATATTATAGACAAAACATAATAAATAATTATACAAAAAGAAAAATTAAATCATGACTGCCGTGAAATGTACATAAAAAGAAAAAAAAAGCTAGTAATATAATAAATGTAACAATACCATATTTATATAAACACACCCATTTTGTTAGTTTAATAAAATCCAATTTTATACTAGTTTGAGAAATTTGTAAATCATTATTTACATTTTTATTTTAAAATACTTTCAAATCACTATTGTCCAAGTGTTTGGGGATTTTGTTTTAACTTATTAACAATTTATTAGAACTCCGACTTATTTATTTAGAAGTTAAAATTTGTTGGGATGAAAAATTTCTCGTTTAGTAAACTATAACATTATTTTTCATTTTTTAACCGTTTAATAATACAGATTATGAATTGAAATTCATCATTGAGAGTTTAATCTAAATATATCTAACAATCATAACAAAGGCAAGTAATTTTTTACTTATCGGGATCGAATTTGTGTTCACGTCCTCGCGAAGATTGGGTCGCAAGTAATTTTAACTTAGCTTGATAGGTTCCTATCCATTTGATTCCCCTTTCACAACAAGTTCCCTCCAACTTTCTTGGTACGTCTCCTTCGCCTAGAAGGCCTAAACTACTTCGCTTACAATGTGAGACGAATGAACTAAGTTTTCATTACTTGTTCACAACGTAAACAAACAGTGTCTACTTGGTCACTGGATACCCACTTTCACTCTCACTCTATAAATGTCCTGTTTTTGCCTTCAAAAAACACCGCATTTTCTTGAATTCATATACCTGCTTGTCTTTTTAGCAACTCATTCATCAATGGATAGTGGTGGTTATAGAGGAAAGGCTGGTGCAGGTGCTGCTGCTGGTGGTTGGAGAGGGAGAGGGAGAGGGATAGGAAGGAGTGGCCAGGATGGTAGTCTTGGTCGTGGTCGCAGCACCGGTCGTAGTGGTGGTGATCATCAATACCATACTCGTCAGCAGTTTTATCATCAACAGCAACAATATAATCAGCAGATGTGGGTGTCAAGTCAAGATGGCCGTGGCAGTGGCCGTTATGGTGGTCTGAGGCCCACACGCGGTGCGTATGGTGGTCATGGAGGAGAAGGAAGAGGAAGAGGGTGGTGCCAATATGCTGTTCCGGTTCAATCACAGATGGAGTTACAAAGGCCATCTCCTGAAAGTCTCCCAACAGTTCAATCACAGATGGAGTTACGGAGGCCATCTCCTGAAAGTCTTCCAACAGTTCAATCACAGATGGAGTTGCAGAGGACATTTCCTGAAACTCTTCCTTGTGGTATGTTTCTCTGTCCCAAAGCAATACTTTTAACTGGTTTATCTACACTTCTATTTATTTTTAAGCTTAATTGCTAGTTTAACTTCATCTAATTAAGAAATGTATAGAATTTTATTTGGTTACTTACTAAAACTCAGTATAAATTGAGTTCCATAAAATTTCAAGAATTCTATTGGTTATCATATATCTACGTTGAAATCCCGAGTTTTGATGTCTCTTTTTAGAGGATTATAAACAGAGTTCTTGAAACAAGTGTAGAAAGGAGTATTCTTTTATTTAATTTTGATGTTGGGTAGGGGGTTTCCGGATCATGGCCTACTGAGAAAATGGTAATTAGTTGGGATCTGAATAACACTTTTCTTCTTACAATTATATGCTTGGTCTGTTTTAATCATCAAATGAAAAAGAGATAACTCATGAAGATTGGTTTTGTTAATGGTATTGTAATGTGGTTCTTGAACCTTCAGTAATAACTTGTTGCTGTTTTTCTTTTTCCAGATTCACCAATTGTTCCTGAAATGCAATCACTACAAATTTCTGGACAGTCACCTTCTTCATCTTCTTCTTCAACTTCTCCTCCAGAAGTTGCAGGCAAACTTATTCCAATGAAAAGGCCTGATAATGGCGGTAAGAAGGACATCCGGCGCATAAGCCTTCATGCTAACCATTTTCGGGTTAAGTACAATCCAGAGACAATCATAAGACACTATGATATTGATGTCAAACTGGACATGCCCACCAAAAACAATCTCCCTACGACATTTTCAAAGACTGTTCTATCCGCTGTTCGTGACAAGTTATTCTCAGATGATCCCACCAGGTTTCCCAGCCTGTCAATGACAGCATATGATGGTGAGAAGAATATCTTCAGTACAGAGTCATTACCCACTGGCAAGTTTAAGTTGGAGTTATCAAATGAGGAAGGCTCAAAGATCCAATCTTTCAAAGTACAAGTCCAGCTAGTGAATGAGCTCAAATATGAGAAGTTGGATAGTTATTTGAGTGGCCTAACTTTCACAATACCTCGTGATGTACTTCAAGCTATGGATGTAGTAACGAAGGAGAATCCTACAAAGCAAATGATTTATGTTGGTAAAAGTTTTCACTCTACTAGACCTTATTTACAAGTTGATCTTGGTCGAGGTGTCATAGCTTCTGAAGGTATTAAACACAGTTTAAAAACAACCTCCCAAGGTGCAGCTTTGTGTCTGGACTATTCTGTTTTGCCACTTCGCAAGCCAATGCCAGTTATTGATTATCTCAGGGAGGATATTCGTGGTTTTGATTTAAACAATTTCGCAAGTTTCAGGAAAAAAGTTGAGAATGCTTTGAAGGGATTGAAAGTTACTGTGACTCACAGAAGTAGCAATCATAGGTACAAAATTGCAGCATTAACCGATGAGAATGTGCAGGACATCTGTTTTGATCTTGAAGACCTGAGTGGAGATCAAATACCTCTGAGACGAGTTAGCCTTGTTGAGTATTTCAAAGAAAAATACAGCAAGGATATTATGTACAAGGATATTCCATGTTTGGATTTAGGGAAAAGTAATAGGAAAATCTATGTTCCTATGGAGTTCTGTGCCATAACTGCTGGGCAAAGGTATGGAAAGGAGCGTCTCGAAAAATATCAAGCTGAAAAGTTAAGGAAGATTTCACTGGCTCCACCAAAGGTTAGAGAGAGCACAATATATGGCATGATAAGATCTGGAGATGGACCTTGTGGGTAAGTAACTTCAACTTGTTTTAAAATAGAAAGAAAATTTGACTGCCATATTTTTCTAATTCATATCATTTATACTTGCATTAACTTGCAGACATTTCTTCTGTTTTTCTGGCAGGGGAGGTATCTGCAAAAATTTTGGAATTGAGGCAGATATGAATATGACATCAGTGATTGGTCGAGTTATTGAGCCACCAGAATTGAAGCTTGGCACTTCAAGGGGAAGATGGATGAAGGCAACAGTTGATAGAAGGAAATGTGATTGGAACCTTAACAGAAATTCAGTAATTTCCAGCAAACCCATCACAGTATGGGGTGTTATTGATTTTGGGACTTTTAGTATTGAAAGGTTCATTCCTGATCTGATTTCTCGGTGCTACAGACTCAACATTAACATGGAGAAGCCTGTTTTCTATAAACGTCTTCAAATGGGTTTATTATATGAGGCTGATAATCTCCACCAACTACTTGAGAATGTTAAGGACGAGTCTTTTAAAATTGGTGGTAGCCATTTGCAGATTCTTCTCTGTGTGCTGCCTGAACAAGATCCAGGATATAACAATCTAAAGTGGATAAGTGAGACCAAAGTAGGCATTTTAACTCAATGTTGTTTATCTGCAAATGCCAATAAATCAAAAGATCAGTTTCTTGCTAATGTCGCTTTAAAGATCAATGCGAAGCTTGGAGGCAGTAATATGGAGCTCCTGACGCAACCTCAGTGCTTGCAGAGTAAAAGTCATGTTATGTTCATCGGTGTTGATAGTAATCGCCCTGGCCCTCTTAACGCAACAAGTCCTTCAATTGCAGCTGTTGTTGCCACCATGAATTGGCCTGCTGCGAATCAGTATGCTACGCGAATTTGTCCTCAGGACAATCGAGCAGAGAAGATTCTGAAAATCGGTACCATGTGTTTGCAGCTAGTGAACACTTATGCTCAGCTAAATCAAGTAAGGCCAGACAAGATTGTCCTATTTCGAGATGGAGTTAGTGATAACCAGTTTGATATGGTTCTCAATGAAGAGTTAAGGGATATCAAGAGAACATTTCGAGCACAGAATTACTTCCCAACTATTACTATTGTTGTCGCGCAGAAACGACACACAACTCGTTTGTTTCTTGACGGTGATAGAGAAGAAAATGTGCCTCCAGGCACTGTGGTGGATACAAAAATCACAAGCCTTGTTGGGTTCGATTTTTATCTCTGTAGCCATTTTGGTCATATTGGGACAAGCAAGCCAGCACATTACCATGTGTTATGGGATGAGAATGATTTTACTTCTGATCAACTGCAGGAGCTTATTTATGGCATGTGCTTTACTAGTGCTCAATGCACTAAGCCTGTCTCATTGGTCCCTCCTGTGTGCTATGCCGACCGTGCTGCTTATCGGGGCCGGCTCTACCATGATTCAATTGAGTGGGATCATTCTTCAGCTTCATCTTCATCTTCATCGAAGGCTTCTTTTGACGAGAAGTTCTACAGGTTGCATCCTAACCTGGAGAATTCAATGTTTTTCATTTGAGATGCCATGCCATTGCTCATCTCATTTCCTTCTTTCCTGTCATGCGAAGGAAAGAAAATAGCTATATATATATATATTCAAAACCTGTAAGTATGTAGGTACATACGAGTTGTTTGTATTGCTGAATGAAATTTGTGCTTTTCTTTTCCAAGCTCCCTTTCTTCTGCAGAAAGGAAAAGCAGTTTGTGCGTGAATCTAATGTTGTTGAAGTAGGTGTGTTTTTGAGTGTAGTGTTTAGCCTTGAATGGACTATGCTGGCCATAAAGGAATAAATGTGTTTATGTTCTTTCAATTAAGCAACAAAGTGTCTAGTTGTGTTTGTGTTCTACTATCAGTATATATATATTGATATTAATATATTAAATATATTAAATATTAATATATACCATGTCCTGTCAATCAAGTTTCATTTATTGATTGTGATAAGTGAGAGATTTTGATTTGTTTTTTGTTGCAATGTTTTCCCTCTCCCAAAAACTTTTTCTCATACGTCTTGACAATCAAAGATTCTAATCCAAAAAACATGCATGTATAAAATATATTGAAGTCAAACCCAAGGGCAAGACCCATAGACCATGAGTTTTCCTCAACTTTCTTCTTATATTTCTTTTTACCCGCTACTTCGCAAACAAACACTCTTCTCTTCTCCTTCGCTTACACTGTGAGATGAACTGTTCCTTAATTCCTTCATGGTTAGTATTATATGGATAACAGCTACCAAGGCGCTGGCTGCTGCAAGGAAGGTTTGGTTCAGATATCGTGACAGCCATTTTCTCCATCTGCTCCAAATATGATGAATCGGTTGTTATCAGGGAGGAATCTTGCCCCTGGTGTAGTGATATGTTCCTTGTCTCACCAAAATTCGAGACGAGGAAGATGCTTGCACATTTTGTTGCTTTTTGTAACTTTATTTCGAGGGTTTGTCTTCATCTAACAATAACTGGATCATAGATCTGATGACCTCATTCTCAACAATAGTTGCATTCTGTAAGACATTAAAAATATATTACATATACGAATCATTATTCCTCAAAGAAAAACATATATGAATCATTTCAGGTGCACATATGTCAAGAAAAGGCGAGGTAACTAATAGGAACCGAAAAGGATTTAAAAAATGAAAAACGGCACAAGAGAGTTGAATCAGAAGAAGATCATCACTATCAGATAGACTGGTTAAAGGGAGATAGACGATATATAGTAAGCTATATTTGGTAATGCATAACCTTATAGTCGCATGTTAAGAGACTAAGAACTGAATAAAACAAAAGCATGGCCAGAAAGGTACCTACAGTACTAATTGCTTGATAACATATCACGCATATGAAATGCACAAAACTATTATTTGTCTCAAAATGCTGTAAATTCTAGCAGACAAGCAAGTAATAGCTATGTTCTTGTCATGGAAATCATAGTAGCTGTAATTGACTTCCATTACCCTCCAACAATTTGCATTAACCAAATATGTTTATCCTTTAATGCTATTATTTGCTCTTGTAGTTCTCTAGTCTTTTGATGCCTCACTTGCATATATCAAAATATACTTGGATTCGACTTATTTATTTTATTTTATTTTATTCAGCCAGGGAAATGGGAAATTCATTGCAAACAAGAAACAGGGACAACATCAAGACCCAAATACTGCATAATGAAAAAGAGGGGGGAAAAGGAAAAACTAAAGGCACATTCTGGCAGAGAGTCCAATAGCCAAGTAAGTCATCGGGAAGAATTGTATGACACAAACAGTGCATAAAAAAAAAAAAACCTTTGGCTTTTGGACAAGTTCCTTTAGTAGGGAATGAAGAGCTAATCTAAGTTCCTTAAATAAGACAGCAGATTGGGCTGGAGCTGTTAGCTTTAACCATCCATCTATGGTGACCAATCCTGTCTGCAAATGGAAGTTAAAAGAAAGTAATAATTTTACATACTAACAGGTCTACAGCAAAATGCATATATATTCTTTGTGAATAAAGATAGGAAAGGTACCTGATGCTGAATGTTAATGAAGCCACCAAACAGCAAGATAGAGAAGGGAGATACAATAGTAGTATCCCGCAGAAATACTTTGTTGGTTTCAACCTTAAAGTACAAAAGATATGGCGCATTATAATCTTAGTGTTCAATGCACAAAGTAATTATGTGGGCATTGCTGCTGGAACTTTTGGATTTTATTGCAACCATGAAATAAACATAAAAAAGGAAAGATTTCAAGACATTAATACCTTCAGAACGCACAGTTTAGAAGAAATTTTACTTCTTCAGAGCTCATCTAAACTAGAAAACATTAAATGTTACCAAGCCCAACATTATGCATGACATAAATTTAGCAGCAGGCACATAAACTTCTATAACTACATGCCCCTTCTTGCCTTAAGAAAGCATGAAAGGGACTTCTTTTTTTTTTTTTTTTTTTTTTTTTTTTTTAGAAAGTAATTAATTTTACATGTACTAACAGGTCTTACAGCAAAATTGTACAACATATTATTTCATTTTGTGAATTAAAGTATAGGAAAGGTACCTGTTGCCGTCTTGAATGTTAAATTGATAGCCACCAAAACAGGCAATAAATTAGACACAAGGGGAGATACAAATAGTAGTATCCCCAAGAGAAATACTTTGTTGGTTTCAACCTTAAAGTTACAAAGAACTAATGGCGCATTATAATCATTACCGAGTGTCACATGCTACAACAGATAATATAATGTGGGCAATTTGCCTAGCTGGGATAACTATTTTGAGTTATTTTATTCGCAATCATTTGAAACATATAAACAATAAAAGAGTAAAGATTTCAAAGACATTTAATTAGCCTTCAGAACCCACAGTTTAGAAGAAATTTTACTTTCTTTCAAGAAGCTCATCTTAAAACTAAGAAAACATTATAAATGTTTACCAAGCCAACATATAATGCATTGACATTTAAATTATAGTGCAAGCAGGCACCATTCGACTTTCTACTTACACTACATGCCCCTTTCATTGCCTTAAGTAAAGCATGGAAAGGGACTTCTTTTTTTTTTTTTATATTTTTTTTTTTTTTTTTTATTTTACGAATCTACAACTATAGGATGGCTTACCGATGGAACCGAAAAATAAACATCTCGGAGAGGCAAACAGCAGGGCCAAGTTAGACCTCTTTGCGCCTAAGATTTCAAAAATTGATAAAAACCATTTAGTGTGCCATATAAGTGAGAGACCAATCAAACCACACTTGATTGGCAATATAGGGACTTATTTAATATACTCCGAATTTCAACATTGCAATCTCTTCTGAATCAGAGAAAACCTGACTAAATAAACTACATGGATCTTATTCAACAGGGCAGCAAGGCTTAAAATAAAATTATTGGACCACTGCGTACAACTATGTGAAAGGCAAAATGAGCTCAAAGAAAGGTGGAAGGAGGAGAGACCAGGAATTTAGCAAACTAATCTGATATATAGTCATTACAATTATTTAATAGAATTATCATGAGAAAATCAGAAAAAGAACAAATTGGTCCGGAAACTTCAATCTTAGCTAAACCTTTCTCAAGGCTAAGACTAGAAATGGGTGCTGAAATTGCTTTTACACCACTGTTGATTGAAGTGTTATTGTGTGTATATTGAACCTCTTTCTTCCTATTCTATACCAGAGAGGACGAAGCCTTCGTTAACAGGATATTGCAATAGGGACGTGTGTTATGGCCTGTTAAAAAGCTGATGCAGTAATGCCATGTGTTCTAAGTTGGCTCAAGCCACTATGGATACAAACCTGCACCTTAGACATTTTGCCTTGCAAGAATGTCTTTAAATATCATCAACTATCCCAACGGAAAAATGCTTTTTTTTTTTTTTTTTTTTTTTTTTTTTTTGATTCATTGGATGGCCCGATGGACCGAAATAACACTACGGGCTAAACAGCAGGGGGTAGCCCTTCCCTAGACTCACCAAATTGATAAAAACATTTGTGTCATATAAGTGAGAGGACCAATCAAACCACACTTGATTGGCAATAAGGGACTTATTTAATATTACTCCGAATTCAACATGCAATCTCTTCTGAATCAGAGAAAACTGACTAAATAACTACATGATTTATCAACAAGGGCAGCAAGCTTAAAATAAAATTATTGGACCACTGCTACAACTATGTGAAAGCAAAATGAGCTCAAAGAAAGGTGGAAGGAGGAGAGACCAGAATTACAAACTAACTGATATAGTCTATGCAATATTAATCAGATATCATGAAATAGAAAACAGAACAATGTCCCGGAACTAATTTGCAAACCTTCTCAAGGAAGACTAGAAATGGGTGCTGAAATGCTTTTACACCACTGTTGATTGAAGATGGGTGTATATGAACCTCTCTTCTTCCATCATACCAGAGAGGACGAGCCTTCGTTACAGGATTGCTAGACTGCTTAAGGCTGTTAAAAGCTGTTGCAGTAATGCCTTGTTCAGTGGCAGCCACATTTGGATACAAACCTGCACTTAGAATTGCCTGCAAGAATGTCTTAAAATCCATCTAACCCAACGAAAAATGCTATTTCAGAAGTTCAAGCTTTTATGTGACATACTTTTCTAAGTTCAACCATTAACAGCCACAGCTAAGAAGTAAAAGAAATTACAAAGTAATTGGGAAAAAAAAGTAAAAATAAATGGGTACATTGTTATCATGATAAGGCCAAACAAGTCTTTGAAATAAAGGAAATTAAATGTAAGAAAACGTCATATTGGTGTTACCTTCACAATTGAGGAGTGATGTGAATATATATTGAATGTCTGTGATCTGTCAGATAACCATCTGTGAAGATTCTCTCTGTTTTTTCCTAGAGTCTGCCAAGAAACCAAATTGTTGTTAAGGTTGTAGACAATAATTCGGTAAAAAAAAAGTTGCATTTCTGTACATAAAGGAGATTCAAAAAAGGGGAATGCACAACAGAATCCACAAGTTATTTTAGGCAAAATAGAAATGAAAACAAAGTTATCCTTTTCTAAAATCAGGTATGCAAAAACGTGCATTCTATGTTTATATCTACATAAAAGTAGCACAAGAACAGTACCTGGTAATTCTTTGGAAGAGTGATGAATCCAATGTCTGCCAGCAGTGACCCAAATTGTATCCTCATGTCTCTGAAATTTTGGCATATCAAATACAAGATGCTTCTCTAAATACACTAAGAGAAAAGAAAAGGGAAACCAAAATCTAAAACAATAAAAGACAAAAACAGATGTAAGAATATTTGGTGTCTTTTCACATGATTAATAAGCATATGATGCAAGTCATTCTTCCATATAGTTCTGTCAACATAGACGCGGAATTTGTAATAAATCCTAATTCCAACATATTAAACATCTATCTTTGCAATAAAACACGCTGGATCTAGATGAAGACTGAACATCTAACTACTTGGAATTTTTAAATGAAATAGGAATACAACCAACTGTTATACGGCCTTAGCACCCATGGTTAAAGAAACGTAAAGAGAAAGAGACCAAAATAATAAAGGAAAATGGTGTCTTAGATATATCTCCTTGCTGACTAGGATCGCAAAAAGGTTAGAATTTGATAGCTGAAGGATGATCTATGAATATGATTGATGACCAGAAGCTCAAAACTATACAGCTATGGTTTTCTATGTTCTCAATTTTCTGTCAGTTTCAATTTTTTTTTTTTCCTTTTCAAATCATATAAGCCAGAAATCTTGCCCAGATGTTACATATTAAAATTTACAAGAACTTGGCAGGGACTGAAAAAATGAAACCTAAGGTTGTATTATTGGTGGACCGTACTAAATCATATCCACCAGACAAGTATTTAAATCAGTTACAATTTCTCGTAACTGATACTGTTACCAAAAAGGGGTAAAAAGCATAAAATACTAGCTTTCGTATCCCACTATGTTAGAGCTAAAAAGCATAAAATGCATTAACATATTTGTTATAAGAAAAGAAAACAGTCGACATATTTAAGAATAACAAAGGGTGAAGAATAGGAAACTAAACCTTATCATGTACATAACTGAACTGCTCAAAAAATAAGAATTGCAAAATTGCTGTGCAGCTTTAGCACCCCTCTGCAAGTGTGAATTTCCAAATATCAGTCAACAAAGTAATCCGCAAAACAAAAACTCCCACTGATATGAGGTCTATAAGTGCAGGGATCATCTTAGACTTCTCAGTGTAGTGTCCCCAATTAGCTGATCCATGACACTGCAGAGGGCAGCTATCAATCTCCTATGGGATGCATTACTATGGTGATAAATTGTGCAAAGTGGATCATTATTGAAATTGCTTAATACCTTGAACTGAAAAGCTTACGGATTCTAATTAGTGACATATGATAGTGCAGAAGACAGCTGCAGGTCCCCTTTAAGGATGAATTATTAAGAAAAATACAATAACCATGCATAGCATCATTAGAATTGCTTAACCTGTCAGATAAACTAACTAAATCACAGAAATCTTGATCTGTGAGTGCAAAGAGCATATAGGCATATAATTTTAAGTACTTTTTGAGTGTGTCCCAGAATAATTATAGTGAAAAACGTCTGAAATAATAACAAATTCACTACATATTTGTGTCACATAAGAATCTTAAAAGCCATTGAAGCTTTAGCGGCTAGAATCAAAACTAAACTGGCTTATATGGTCCTAAAACATAGCCATCATGAAAAGACTCTGGGCATAATACTTGTTTGACATGCAATTAAACATGATCTAACAATATAGAGAGTTTACTTATTAAAAAATGAGCAAACCCCAACTAACCTCCTGCAGAATCTTCTCCCACTTCTTGTACGCAACCATCATTACTATGTGATCAGATTGCTTATCATTGTCATTTGAATCATTTGAGCCATCTGACTTATCGGTTAAAAGCGCAAGCTTTGCCCTTTCAACATTTTGCCTCTAGAATTTATCCAAAATAACAGAAATAAAAAGTTAATAATAATAACAATAAAATGTCATATCTTTTCTGCTCTCAAGATGAAGAAACAGTAAAAAACTTGGGACACAATTAGAAATAGAGACCTCGTCTTTCGGGTATACAAAAGGTGATTTATAGCTGAGAAATGCAGAAATGGAAAGAATAGGTGATAAGCAACCAAATATTGCACCATACAGCATCATCTGCATTTTGAGAAGCACATAGTTAGAGGGTATATTCTGAAGAATACTTGCAACATAAGAAAGAGAGAGAATATGTAAAGTATGCAAATAGTATATAATGAGTTGCTAAGTTTTCAGAGGTTTCCAACATTCCTCTGCTAGCATGAACCAGCAAAAAGAATAATTACTTTGCTAAACTTGATCCAGCCTTAATCCAGCATATAGTCTAAGGCCTGATTTCAGAATGACAGTAGAAGAATTCCACTCCAAGCAAGGTCAAGCCAACATGACATCAACATAAACCAACTAAAATAACTGAGTTAACCAGAAGAGACATAAGTCATATCGGAGTTGATGTAAAGGTATACAAGCTGATAATAGGACCTAAAGGTTGAATATACTGATTTCAACACTGATACTTTACAGCTGTATAAATAAGCCATGGACAATATTCACATACAAACATTCAGCCAGAATGGTTTTGTCATAGAAATTGAATAAATTTCAACAATTTTCTGTAAAGTTCAGGAAACTTCAGTAGTTTGATTCCTATGAAGCACTTATATCAGATACTCAATGGGTCCATACCATTAGAGGTCCATGAGGAAGCCAAGAGCATAGCTTTTTCATGTAATACTGAACTGCTAAACTTTAATGCTTAGACACCAGGCATGACTCTAACCAAATACACAAATCATAAACTCAAACCCATAACCTCAAAGCATTCACTTTCCTGCCAAAAGCTCTATATTTAGAGCTTCATAACACCCTCTGACATCTACAAAAATCGAACCCAACCTTCCCAGCAGCTACAAAAATCAAATTCCAAAGAGACAATGAAGCGAGGCATTGAAGAAATTGATGACGTAGTTTGCTCTCCCGATAGATCATAACACATATATTAGGAGATAATGCAAATTCAGGTCACCTCACATGCAAGAAAATTTGAGTGTCCCAAAACTGATTTGCCAAGAGAAATGGCATTTGGATAATAGTAAAATGGATCGAAAACCTTTACAAGGAGCTGCAAAAACTGTCTTAAAAAATTTTTCTATCCTATCTAAGCCAGAAGAAGACAAAATTGAACCAAAGTGATTAACATGGTAATATCTACCACCTCTCAATCATTTAGGTTTTTCAACATACTTATAACAATTCAAAGTTTAAACATTGCATAATAGCTCCTAAACAAATTCTTGACACAATCTTGAAATAAGTTTCATGTAAAAATGTAAAGGCCTTTAAGAGTTGTTTGAGGCCATTATGATGAAGCAGAAATGAAGAGAACTTGTTTTCCTATCAATACCTTTCCGATCAATACATCAACAGGAAGTTTTGCCAAATGATGCCCAAGAGGTGTCAACTCTTCATCCCCTTCTACAGCTCCAACCTGCAAATTTTTGACACCAGGGATTTAGTTTACCAGATAAAAATATAAAGGAGCTCCAAAATAACAAAGATTACCAATATAATTAGATGCTCTGACCATTCTTTTCTAATACAAAACTTCGTAGTATAAACTTATACACAACTTAGTTGCATAATAAACTATGGTCAATAGCATGAGTAAAAGACCTACATAGTAACACAGAAGAAGATATCTCATTTTTCCCAGGGTAGTCCCCTTACTAGGCAACAAGAAGGAGAGAGAGAGAAACAGAGAGACAGAATGCATGAAAACCTACCTCATATAGCAATGAAATTGCAGAAGTCATAGCCTCATCGTTTGGAGGTTCCAAAGCCTGAAGATAGTATTCAAAATAATCTGTTAGAAGATTTTAACAATTAAACTATCTCCCATCTGCAGGCTCATTTTGCATTACTTACCTTGGATAAAAATGGTTTTATGTGACCAAGAGAAAGTAACTTTATTTGCAAACACAACTCCACTAATGGCATCCGAAGCATCTCAGGAACCTTATATTGAAGATACAAGAGTTTACTTTAAAATAAAAGAATGAAAAATTAAGAATATTGAAACAGTTAAAATTGAAAAGCACATGAAGATAGATGCCTCAATATCAATCATACAGAAGTACCTGATAAGGACGCATAAGTTTCTCAAATCTATGACGTGTATACAAGCAAAAGCAAATTCCAGGTTTAACACGTCCAGCTCTTCCTCGGCGTTGCCTCGCATTTGCTTGAGATATCCAATCCTCAACCATGCTTGTCAATTTCTAAAGCAACCAAAAAACTACTCAGACACCAAGAACAACAGGTAAGATAAGTAATGAATTCATAGACAGAAACCCAGATGAGCAGATGGTATTGGCAATTAACAAAGGGCCATTTGAAGCTTGAGAACATATTTCACTATTAGCAATTCCTCATTGTAATATATCCTGCTAGACAGCATCCCAAAAGCTAATACAATGGATTACATAATGCTAAGTCTTCAGGACAGAGAAAAGTAGAAGACCTGAGGAATTAGGACATCCCTTTTCTTTTTTCATATATTTTTAAAACAGCAGAAAGTAATGATCCAAGCATATTCCAAGATAAGAAAGAAAATTCCAATAATTGGAAAAGTTCCTTTCATGTATCAGCAGGATTATATGTTAGATCACAAGGGTAATAGGAAATGTATGCACTTCTATAGATTTTGTGAAGTTAATGCCATAATGATTTTCATCAGAAACATATCCCATAAACTGAAATTGTTTCTAATAACCTAGAAATTTAGCACTGTTTCTTTTAGTAAAAAACTTTATTGTATCAATACTTTTAAGAAATGCAGAGCCCAGAATGTTTTTAATAAAGAAGACAAAGAAGCAGGAAAAGAAAACATACTTTTTGAGGATTATAACGATTTTCCTTGTGCTTTCCACAGTCAATCACATAAATTACATCATCTATTGTTATACTAGTCTCTGCAATGTTTGTTGCAATAATAACCTGCACCAGAAAATCAATGAAAAATGGAGACAACAAGAAAAATTTTAGTGAAGTCAGTCAATCAAACAGCCAAAATATACTGGAAATTTATATCTGATAAGAAAGAAATTGCACAGATTTTAATAAGGTTGGGAGAGTACAATTGGCAGGTTGAAAGCTTTATATTAAGAAACTAATGTTTGTAACAGGATCTTGGAGTTTCTCAGGGGTTTTCTTTATTTGTGAATGGACAAGCAAATCATTAGAAGATGAGGTACGCACAATTGTCCAAGTAATAAGAATAAAAAATAACACAAATAAAATTCAAACACACAAAATTAACACGGTAAAGCTTTGTAACTCATAAACTTTAATACCCAAATGTTGCACCAAAGGAAACCTATAAACCATTTATAGTCATGTAAGACTCTCAAGAGCATATTTTACTATTCCTTCTAGTCAAATATTTCAAAGCACAATTTCCATCCATATCCCCATAATAGATATTAAATTATTTCTCTCCTATCTAGGACAAATCCAAGAGAGTGCAGTATTAAAGATCCTAAATCATAGCTTTTCTTTTCTTCTTTCTTCTCCATTTTACCTTTTGCCACATGTATCATTCACTTGGGTCATACTCCCTTAGCGTGGTTAATTTGTTGTATTATTTTTCATTCACAAACATGTTAACTTATTTATTATTAATGGAAACATATATATAGTTGAGCAACTTGAGAAAATATTAGATTTGCAGGATAGCACAGCATGCATGATGCCTTGGAGAACATAGAATAGGATAAATTTATGGTTTGAGCACCAGATTCAGAAAAGGATCACTATTGATATAACATTTTGTTTGAATATTGGATGATGACAATTTTTCAAGGAAATTGAAAAAAAAAAAAAGACTGGAAAAGTCTTACACCAAACAGACGGACACACCACATTGTAAACTAGGGTTGCAGAAGCCAAATAGAAATTTCTATGTTACATTTGGATTTCAAAAGCCCCCAATAAGAAATTTCTTTCACGGCCTTCTCTGAAAAGATTGGACCCAATGGACTATCCTTCAGTCAACTTGCTACCATTAGAAAAGACTTTTAACGGGCAATAACATACAAGATCTTTATTGCTGAAAGAGGGACTCTTTTACTATAAACATCAAACTCCCAGTTAGAAGGCCTTCCTGCTTTTTGAGATAGAATTCATATTATCACTTCCATTCTTCCTGACTATTCGAAAGTTTGTCCTACGCTCTTATGGAATTCCAATTTTCATTATAAGATAACTCACCCCTTAAAACCATCTGTGGAGGAAATAATCACCATCCTTCTCATGCATAAATACAAAATTTAACTCTTACAAAGATAAATTCTGGACAAACATACAAATCATAATTTCCTTATGATCAGCAACTTCACAAAAGGAAACAAAACTTCATTCTCACAAGAAGCATAATTGGATAAAGAACAAATTCAAAATAGTTAGAATTTATAATGAAAAACAGAAGTAAAAGAATAAATAACAACTGACAGTAAAAAGTTACCTTGCGTGTGTTTTCAGGTGGACGCAAGAACACCTTTTTTTGATCCATTGGTGCTATAGAAGAATGCAAAGGAAGTACCCAGTCAGATGATGTTCCACCAAATCGGTAAGATGCAGATAACCTATCGAGTAGCATGTGAATTTCAGACACTCCCTGTGATCAGTAGCAAGTGTGTAGATTCAGAAGGATATAACAAATGCCAAAGAGTTATTTAAGTAAAAGGATTACTGAATGAACTTACAGGCAAAAAGACAAGTATGGCACCTTCACCACATGTTTCATCAACATAGCATATCAAGTCTTCCAACACATCATAGTCAATCACATCTTCATTCAATTTTTTCTAAACATTAGATTGGATAAATGTTATACCATGGATCATGAAAAGAAATGGAACAGAAACTATATTATTGACATGGCTATAGCACTTACCAAATTCTGTCGGGTTTGCTCACCATACAATTGATAATTGCTTGAGACATAATGGGGATTAACAAAGTCTTCTGAAAGCAGAGAATCGTCACCCCAAGCAGACAAGACAAGATTTTTCTTCCCTCTACGGTTATTCACAGAACCACTCTGCAGCTACTATTCGTTATTTAGATGTTTCTTTTAAGCAAAAAACATAAAAAAAATAAAAAATAAAAAAAAATAAAAAAAGAAAAAAAACCACGAATTGTTGGAATCTGCAATCAGAAAAGAACTCTACATGCATCCTAGAGACTAATAAATGGCATGTAGAAAACCTATCAAATAATTGCTAAAAAATCTTATAAAGGCTTTACATTTAAGGTACATAAGCATTTAAGGCATAACAATAAAGCCATATCAAGAAGAGAAAACATGTTTGTAACTTTTTGGGGATCACACTAATGGCCATGAGCTTTGATGTTCATCTTAACAGCATTTATTAATGAATTCAACTTCAAGCAAAAACCTTACATGCATATGCTCGTCATTTAGTTGGGTTATCTATATAGTTTTAAGAAACCCGTTAAAGGATTGCTCAAAGAATAAGCACATTAGAATGCAAGGCATAACAACAAAGTTATCAAGAAAAGGCAAACCCTTATTGAAATCACACTAGCAACCCAACCATGTCAAGTATAACTTACATAAGTGCAAAACAATACAATTGTTAATTTCAAGTTAGAAGATCTCGTCGAGAAATGGATATCTTATGAATATTGAAAGCTATCCACCATAGCGATGCAATCATACGTGCTAAAAAGCATTCATAAGCACTACATAAACTTATTTCTGAAGCCAAAATGTAACTGCACCTTATCAAATGTTGGTGTTTGGTATTTTAAAGCAGCTGGAGAATCTGAAGTCAAATGATAATTAATACTCTCATATATATCCTCAAGAAAGTAAGTTGTCACAGGATGCGTACGGCCTTGTGCAGTAAGAACAGGACAGTGTCCAAAATAACTTGAAAATAAAGTTGAATCAACAGTTGCAGACCTGAACATTATTAATTCAATAAAAATAAGATGCCAATGTATTTACAGACGAACAAAGTAATGCCTGTAGAACAAAACTGAAAATAAGTATTACATAAGAATAACTTTCAGCTTTGGCGTGCCATGACCAGATTCCTTCTCTATCAGGCTCTTCAAAATAATGAGTAGAAAATCACCCTATTCCAGATTCAACAAATGAGATTTTGCATCAGCCAACCTTTATAAAAAAGGATACATCACACGTAAGATCTGGTCCCTTTCATTAAGAAGTTGCAAGGTAAATATAAAAATGAAAAGGACTCACTCAGTTGCAAAAACTGAAAACAGAAAAATCATTCAGGACTTGCCTTGATTTGGTGGTGCTTATTCCAAATGCACTAAACTATTGAAAAACATGTTGTGATACATGAACCTAGCCACTTTGAAATGAATCAGAGTGATGAATCCTAGTTTCCAGATGAAACATGCCAAAAAAATTTCCCTATGCAACAAATAGAAAGTAAAACACGTGGCCTGTATTGAAGAAACTGTCTGAAATTGCAATATGGCATAAAAAAGACAAAAAAAATGCCACGACTTGTATCTGTTTTATGCTGTTAACATTTTGTTGACTCACATACAGAGATCACAAATTTACTATATCATGTGGGGGAAAAAATTAACTCTATCAAGTCATCATCTGACATCCATTCGTACATACCAATCAACTGCGCTAACTCTGACTCTTTGTAAGGAATTCATCCATTTAAACAAATATGAAAGGCTGCAGACATTACGTACTATACAGGTAGCAGGTGCACAAAAAACAAAACAAAGAAAAAAGAAGAGAAAGAGAGAGAAACAAAAAACAAACAAAATGAAAAACTAAAGAAACAGTCTCTCAAATCCAGGGATCGAAGAAACAGGATATCTTAGGCTACATTAATGAAGAATAGAATACCTTCAGCTACATTAAGTTTCACTTACCAATAGTGACCGTTCATGCACCTCATCAACAATGACATGAGTAACACCGGCTAAGTTTCTATCCCCCTGCAAATAGTTGAAACCGCAATGAGAAAAGATTGTTTTAACTGGCCATACCAAAGCAAGTTTCAACTTCCAAAAAATTAAGAAACCACTGAAATAATTTCAAATTTCTGAAAATATCTCATAATTAAGAATTCTTTGAATAAAATTTGAATCTTAATTAAAAAGCAAAAAGATTGAAATAATTACAAAGCAGTCGGAAAATATCCTCATCTCAGTGTAACACAAAAACACGTACTGATGTCAAAGATTTCATTTTATATTGCCTGTGGAAAAAATTAAGGCTGGCATAAAAACATCTCGATGAAAACATCATAAACCATATTTTATATACATTTCTGGGATAAACAACAAAACAAGTTAAGGTTACGAATATCTTAAACAGCAGCCTTTGGTTTTTTATTTTGTTATATTTCTATTCTTTTGATAACGAAGAATTTATTAAAATGAGAAAGGACGATTAATATGAGGACAAGGTATCCTCTGCCAAGGAGAAAAAGAAGCTGATTTTCATGTTTTGAAATACTGACATTTTTACTAGGCAATACCAAATACCAATGTCAAAAACGACCACTAAATTTCTAAGATACATGTAGGAAAAAAAAATGATGCTGGCATCTAAATTTTGTTTCCTTATCAGAAAAGCAAAATGGGCCAAATTCAAATATAACAAATTCAAGATCACTCAGTAATTTCAGCTTACCACAAGCCTCCTCAAAAGAATGCCTGTTGTGCAAAAGAGAAGCTTCGTTTTCTCATTCCTAAGACAGTAAGTTATAAGAAAAGAAAAAGACAATTAGTATGCATGAAAGTATAATATGCATAAAGATTGTTGAAAGAACACACAAATGGAAAAGGAGAGAATAAAACATCCCACTATTTCCCTAAACCAAAATGAAACGAAGCATTTCAAGCAATAACAAGAAATTAGCAGATAGAAAAAGCATGATTTTCAATCACAAAAAATAACCAGAGCTGAATCTCAAAACAAAAATAAGTTCAAATACATGCAAGGAAATGAAGGAATGAATCTCAGCAATATGATCAAAATGCAACATATGAAATGCAGGTGATGCATACATATGGTGATCCTCACAGTAACCTTAGCCAATAAGAAAGAAAGAAGCAGATTAGCACCTTGCACTATCAAGACGAACTTGATAACCAACTAAGGAGCCATTTGAACCAGGTGAAGGTTCACATCGCTCATCAGCAACTCTTTCAGCCACAGAAATAGCCTACAATGCATTGGAGAAATCAACAAATTATAGTCAACGAATGGATAGAAAAGATTTCCCCATGCTTCTCAATCTACAATGGCCACATTATATATAACAAAAAGATATTTTCTTAAAGACTAAGATGACAACCAGTTGCAGATATAGGAGAAAAAAGATATTCCAAGTACATTCTATTTTAACTTTGAACAAATAAAATAAAGAAATTGACTACCAAAAGATGAGCACTAAAGATGGATAAATGCTCTCTTATAGGGCCAATAGAATAAGGAAATACAAAACAGAGCCATGAACCATGTGTTAGGACATGCATTTTAGAGCTCCCGATTGAAGATTACCAGGTTTATTATAACCAATTGTCATCTATACCTAAACTGGATTTTAGAAACTTCATAATCAAGTTGGAGGGGGAGTCAAATAACATTATAGATAAGAATATGGAGGAAATAGATCAGAGATTTCTTAACTGGTTAAAAGGAGATCTCAAGTCCGAGTCTGAAAGTGTCTACGAGTTTCAGACTAAGGGACAGTCCATCTTCTTTGTTCGTTTACATTATTGAAGTTCTTAGGAGAAAGCTGAATAGGGGAGGTAAGTAAGGGCTGATTTATTGACTTAGTATCCAATGGGGTTTCTTTCATTTGTAGTTCACCAATGGCGCATTTTCTTAGACTTTGATAAGAGAATAGCTGAAGAGCTTCATAATGAGATGCTCGTCTTACACCTACTTGGAATCCATGAGACTCCTGCATTTAGAAATCTTAAGTTACATCCAGCCTTCTGAAGTGAGTTGACCTTCTCTTAACCTCCAATGAGCCTGGACCCCAAGCCCTAAGTGACATTAGAAGACATCCACAACTTCCCAACACCGATAGGAAGCAAGCCTGACAGGACCTTTAAGATTTTAGACAGAAAACCTTGTCCCCATTAGAGAGTGTCCAGCTTAATGATCAGAATTTAACGGTCATCTGACAAGTATAAATTTACCTCGAGACTATGTGTGGGGTACTAGGTAGGATTGTGTATGCAGATGAAAAGTCCATGTTCATCATTTAATATATTTATGAGTGGATTTAACCCGGTAAGCATATGAATTTTGCAAATGAATCTTAGAGATTTCAGAAGTAGAAAAGTAAGGAAATAGAAACGATGTTCTGTCTTTGCATGAGCTGATCTACCTGGATAGATAGGAGTACTAAGGCTCTTTATGTTCTGCAAAATATTTTAATGAAGATATTTTCTTTTCACGCACGAGCAAATTCCAAATCTTCCAATAAAAGACGCCAGGTTAAAAGAGGTAGGCAAGAGAATAAAACTTGTATATTTCAAAACAAATATATATACACGACACGAGCAAAGATTCCCATAATTCTTCAATAAAAGAACGCCAGGTTAAAAGAGGAGGCAGAAAAAAAGAAAAAAAACTTGTGATATTTAAAACAAATATATGATATATATAATGAGTATATATATATATATATATAATATATTGGAAGTAACTGACTTTAGGGATACAACACCTGCAACAAGTTAATTGAGTCATCCTTACGCGAGCGACAGTTGGCCATAATATAGCCCCTATATAATTGGAAGTACTGACTTTTTAGGGATACACACCTGCAACAAGTTATTGTAGTCACCTTACGAGTGACAGTTGGCCATAATAAGCCCTAACTTTTTGTATGGTACCGTGACCTTCCATAAGAACTACCAATTGATGAGTAGAAGTAGGACTACTAGGAACATGAATAAGAAATAAAAGAAGAGTTTTCAAAAGTACCAAGCACTGATAATACTAGGAGACCCAAGGGCAATGTAAGATAATAATATGAGCAGACCTAGAATGAGGTTGTTTGCAGTCAACTTTAACCACTGAAGGTGAATACAGGAACGGTGTTTGAAAAATAGCAGCATTTCCACCCAAACCCAACTTTCACTATTCATACAAAAAAAAAAATTCTTATACAACTGCCTCGTATATCATGTTTATTTCCAGTGTTGTTAGGACTAGAATAAAATATGTTTTAATTGGAGAGTGATTTCTGTATAGAAGTAGCACATTGATGAGATAGATATCTAAAACAATAATCTGTTCATGGACAAGGTAAAGTACCCACCGCTATTCTCCTCGGTTGTGTGCATATAATGCTACACTCTCCACCACGTCCAGATTCAATCATGTCATCCAATATAAATTGTGGAACCTACATAAAAGGTCAGTTAGATAGGTGGAGGCCTGTTTCTCAGAAAGAGGAAAAGACAAACAAAGAGCCCCACCCATTAAACGACAAAACACCAAAAGCTAAATGAGCACCACCGGTACACAAGCTAAGTAAGACCCAAAAGAGATATAAGGTAACTATGAATATGGACCTGAGTAGTCTTTCCAGAGCCTGTTTCCCCGCAAACAACAAGAAAATTATTTTCATTCAGCATTTGCAGTATATCATCCTTCAATCCAGCAATAGGAAGAGCATTTCTAGTTTTCAACATATCCTACAACATGAATATAAGCAAAATACATAAGCAGCAAAAAAGGCAGAAGAATTTTTTAAGTCATTAAAGGAAAAAAAGCACATGGAGACCAAAAAAAAAAAAAAAAATCATATTGACAAAACTCAGTTTACACCCATTATCTTTTAAAACAAAAAGGAAAATGACAGTAGCCCTAACAATGAATCAAACAGTCATTTAACCCACTGATGCGACTAATTTCAGCTTAAAATGGAGAGGGCGTGGCTGTAAAGAAAATGCCAATATTCTTTCAGATTGTGTTTCTCTAATAGAATTATGAAGTATTCAGACAGAGATATACTAAAAAAGGTTCTAGCCTTAACTCATTTAGCATTGTATGAAGGATAAGATTCAATTTAAGTGGATTATTCTATCAATTTTTACTTTATGGTATTTTTAACTGTATTTATTAGTTTTGTATCATAAGAAATTGGTCATTTCCTAATTATGAAGTAAAAACGATATTTCACATAAAATAAAACTGAACGTCTATGATGGAATGATAAAAAGTCCCTCCAATGACTTCTTTCCCATCCAATAAGAGCTGAGAAAAATAAATAAATAAACCAACCCTGTATTTCTGCATTGTCTTTTTGTTTTCTTGCTCCTGTCTCAGATAAGAACTTTCCACGTCACTTGTAATCTTTTCCCCTACAGCATGCGATGGTCAAAGAAAGTCATGAAAGCCTCAAATACAAATTTGCAGTACAATTTTCATTCTGATGACAAAACGAATAGGCTCCACATCAAAACTTTATTTTTTGAATATGTGTTCATCACTTCTATATTGATTGAATAATACTCGAAATATCAAAGGATGCCTGCCAGCTCAATCCTTCTCAATCTTAATTGTTTATGTCATAATTTTATAGACTTTATTTTTCTTTTTACTCACACAAAGAGATATATTGGTCAAATTAGAGCAAGATAATTGAAGAATATGGCAAGTGAAATGATAATAACCTACAAATTAGGGCAAATGCATTAGACGAAATAAAAGAACACCTTTTTAAATTATATCTCATTAAAATAAGTGAACCCATCAGTAAAGAGTACGTACTTCCTGCTACGGGATGAGCACCAGCATCACTAAACTTGCTAGCCTCTTGAACATGAGAGTTTTGTAATGGTTCTGAAAGCCCATTTGTAGTATCAGCTCTGGCAATCGATACATCTGAATTCAATAACCGATCCACAAAACCAGCTCTCCGCTCCTCCACAGCATTTTCCACTTTGCTTGATGATTCCCCTGTAAGCATTCATAGATTTTACAATGCTTAACTAATCCAAAAGTATCAAAGGAAGAAGAAAAACAATAAAAATAACATAAAAAATAATTCCAACAACAACAGTTGTGACAGTTGTAATGAATAAATTGCAGAAATAATGCCAGGATGACGATTCTACTTAAGATTACAGAAAGTCCAAATAAATAAACAATTCTACGGCAAGTGATGGAGAAAGTATATGGCCTGTATTAAGAAAGCATTACCTTCTTTCCACTGTAAAATAAGAGAAGCATAAGGTTTGGTAACGATCAGGTGAATAGGGATATCAGGAAACAGTTCGTAAAGAGCAAATGCAGCAACTCTGTTCTGGGCATCCTGCAGTTGTAATCATTCACAACCAAAGGAAGAAAATTAAAAAAGACACAAAAAGAACATCAAAACTTCTTTAAAAATTAAAGGAAAGTAATATTCACTAAAATACATTTCATTTCAGAGCAAGCCCTTTCAATATTGAGTCCACAAGTGACAAAAATAAGGATTTGGTAACCACCAATCAAATAAGTAGTGACAATGAACTTAGCAATTCAAGGGTCCAACCCAATTAAAGACGGTCGAAAATTGGACCCTGGAAGCTCTCTCAACTCAGAGGCAGAAGTGGGATGGGTTTTATGTCTACACTATAATCAAGCAGAGACTTGAATATAACTAACATGACAACTACTATCAAAATTTACCTCTAATACATTCAGAAAGACATAGATAAATAAATACAAGACTCAACACCATATTACATCCTACACCCCTTGTCATACTTTTCGTGCTTGGATACTAAGTTGATGGGAGATTAAGAGTTATCCAATCCCTGGTTATAACTTAGAAGATGGTAGTTCAGTCACAGCAAGAACAAAGCAAAGGGCAGAACAGGACAGCGGTGTACTTAGGTCAGAGAATTGCTGAAGTGGGAAAGAAACAACAATGTTACTAAGTGTCTTCTTGTTATCACCCAGCTATTGCCAGCTTCTAATATAAATTTTCTAAGAGTGGAGGTAGGAGTAACTTTGACACTTTTGAAATTGGAAATGGAACCAGAATTAAAGTACCTCAGCAGATTCATATGTTTCATCCCAGTCAGGAAGCTGAAGGGTGATCAAACCGCCAGCTTTTCTACTCTTGCCCCTTCCACTAGCTTTGCGTAATATGCTAACAGAATACAGGAAGCCTTCTCTCCTTTCTAGCACCTTATTAAATTTTGGAGCATCCCACCCTGATTTTTGACATAGTTGGTGAAGGACAGCCTTAGGAATCTTATGCGGGTCCCCCTGTCATTATTTAGCCTCAATCAGAATTATTTAAAAAAAAAAAAAAAAAAAACCCCCTGATTTTTGACATAGTTGGGAAGGCACAGCCTTAGGAATCTTATGCGCGGTCCCCCTGTCATTAATTTGCCTCAATCAGAATTATTAAAAAAAAAAAAAAAAAATATTTAAAAAAAAAAAAAAAAAAAGAAGGAAAAAGAAGAAGAGGAAGAAGTAGCAATTCCAACTTGTGTACAAAACAATCACATTGTAAGAGCCAAAAATAGAAGAGAATTACTTTAACCATGAGAAATTTGGATAATAATCCATGGGGAGAGAAGCATACATGAAACATATAAGTCCATGTTAAAAAAAAAAAATGCTATATAAAATTTTTCAGCAGGAAAATTCATATTCCAAACATTCCAAAAAATTCATTGCATAGCAGTTTTTCTCCCATAGATATATGAGATTGTAGGACAGAAAAACAGATCTGAAACCATAGAACTAACTATATGGATTTTTTACTAGGCATCATGTATTACCTAACTTACATTACATCCAGGATCAGTAATATTTTCCTAACAAGCCTTCAAACATTAGTACCTTCTTCCAAATGCCGTCTAATTTCTCCAAATTCTTCTCATTTAATAATTCTTCTCTCCTTTTTTCCTTCTTTTGTAATTCCAATACTTGAGGAGGTAAAGCTTCATTTGATGCAACATCTTCCAAAAAGAAATCACCGAGCTCCACTTCTCCAGCCTCATCTTCTAATACAATGTCTTTTTGTACAGGTACACTAGAGGGAATAGATTCTTCTGAAAACTCCACAGAACTTGAACTTTCCACATCATTTGCTTCTACTGGTATTTCATCCGATGGCACAAGAAAGTCTGAGCCCCCTTCTGCATCAGATGATGTTTTTTCCTGAAGTTGCTCTTGAGGCATAGCACTCATAGATGTGCCCTCAGGCACAGAAACAGAATGACGTTCATGATCAAACTCTTGTGCTAACATGTCATCTGATAACCCTGCTCAATTAATAAAATACAGCACAAGGTAATTGGAACCACAACCAGATTTGACTATGGATCAGGAAAGGGACTGAATTTAACCTAAAGAAGCCAATTCCTGTTTGAGCTTGCGGATAACATGGCCTGCTTGCTCCTGAGTTTTTTTGTCCCCTTTTTCTTTGGCTTTTGTAGCTTCCAATCGTGCTGCATAGTACTCTTCAGCTATAATTTCATAAGACCGCGGTACAGGATCCTATTAAAATAAAGAGAAAATAGAAAAACCGAGTCAAAAGCAGGCTTCAAATTTTTCCATGGTTGAATATTTCTCTCTGACCAAAAAGAGAGGAAGGAAGAAGAGAATTTACCTTGTTCACTAAATTTCCATCAACATCATAGTCTTCCCAAGTTTGGGACTCATCCTGTACATATTCACAAAAATGAATATTAGTTCACTTAACTAATTCTTCACCATTAAATATCTCCCAAATCAAATACACAAATTCTTGCTTAACGGATCATATATAAACAACTTTTTGCATGTTATTGAATGTAAAGTAAATCAAATATGTCAAAATAAAGTAGCTCTTTCCCACACCATAATTCTATCACGCTCCAATTCTAGAGTATTTTCTTCAAAGGAGACTAGAAACTGGCTGACTTAAAATTTCTTTCAGGATCAAGCCAACGCAATAACCCAGAAGCCAAAAATAAAATACTTTAGGCCCCAACCTCTACTGGAAATACAGTATTATGTTCACCAACTCATATCAAATGATAAAGAAATCAAATTCTAGAGGACAACAATTGCACCTTTGACTTCCATTTTCTTTCTTCCTCTCTTCTTCTTCTTCATTCCTTTTTTTTTTTTTTTTTTTTTTTTTTTTATTCCTTTTTTTTTTTTGTTTTTTTTTTTTTTTTTGTCAACAACGCAAAGACATCCGCGTGAATCTATAATACTATTTTTTTTTTTTTTTTTTTTTTTTTGTCAACAACAGCAAGACATGCGTGAAATCTATAATACTTAAAGGCATTCAGTCTACCTCTTCCTGTTGTTCCATATATTGCCTAATCCAATCTGCCTGTGAACGAGAATCTAGAGCATCATCATTATCATCCCACCGTGCTTTGATTCTAACAGAAACTGGTTGCACAGGCTCCTCGGTCTTTGCGGAAGCATTGACTGAAGGAGTCCAATTGTCCCGCGCAGTTGATACAACACTAACAGAACCTACAAAATAACATTACAAAAAAAATAATTGGCTAACTTGAATGCCAACAATCAACACGTCATCATTCATTCACGTGAAAATTGCATTATAACACTAGTTAAAATGAAAATCAAATATACCTTCATTTGTATTTAGCGAAGTTCCACTTGAAAACTTCAAAGGAAGCTCGTTTCCCGGTAAATTCAAGCATAACCAATCCAAAGCAGATTCAAATGTAGCATTATCCTACTCACAACACAAAGAAGTTTATATTTTCTCCTTTTTTGTCGTTCTTTTCGTTTATATGAAGTAATAAAACAGTAGTAATAAGAAGAATCTATTACCTTGATTGAAGTGAGAGCAAGCTCAATTTGATCATTAGAAAAGCCTTCACAGGAGAGCTTCTCGTAGATATTTTTCAATCTCTTGGCCTTTTGAACCTTAGAGAGATTATCTTGAACAGAAGTCGCGGAGGATGGCTGAGTGGACTGGCCGGAGTTAAGTAAGAGCCGTCTTAGACGATTCTCGTTTTCGGCAGAAATCTGAAGCCTTGGACCGGAGGAAGATTGTGGTTTGGATTTAGAAGACGTTGAAGATGCTTTGTTGTTGCTTTGCTTCTGCTGTTTCTTTTTTGGTGCCATTTTTTCTGATTCTAGGCTTCTCAGGGAGAGATCAGAAACAAAGACGATGATGGCGGATCTTTTATATTTCGATTAAACGGCGACGTTTCCAGGTAAAACGTTTATCACACGTGCTTTAACAAGAATCAGGGGTAAATTACAATAAGACGATCGAGGAATTGTAAAATTGTATAAATCAGCCCTCACTTTAAAAATATATACCGAATCCCCACAAATAAATTTGTAATTCATAGAATTCATCCATGGGATAATATCGTTGAGATTAAAGTGTAATAAATTATTTGAAACATATCATAAAATAAAATTATTACTAGCAAACCAATAAAATTGAAATTAAATTACTATTTAATTTTTATGTTATGACAAAAAAGATTTATATTTTCAAATATTAATTAATCCCTCTATTTTGTTGTTGTAAAACTAAAGAGCTATTCTATTAAGATTTTTAATTTATCAACTAAAAATATCAAATACATTTGGAAAAATAATGATTCCAATTTTATTATTGAGATAAAAAAAATTAAATTTTATTGTCAAATCTTATCTAATAATTTAATATAAACACATTGATGGAATGTTATTTTTAATGAGTTTCTATTTAGAAATTAGAATAGCTAATCTAAGTTTTAGTATAAAAAGAAAACTTAGGATTTGATCTGATAATATAAGGTAAAAGAAAATTGAAAGTTTTGTCTTAAGGGTAAATTTGATATTTCATTATAATTTAATAAAAAATTTAACAGAATGACGATTAAGTTGAATGTTAATGAAATTAATAGAGAGATCATTTAATTGATTTTTGAAAATATAAATCTCAATTTATAAATTTCAATAAATTATAAAAATTAACTAGCAATTCACCCTAAATTTTGATTTATAAATTTGTTTGTGATTACTGCAAAAACCATTTATTTGATTGCTTATTATAAATCATCTAAAAGTATTACACCTATGCCTGAGTCATGACAAGCAGCACAAATACTGTTTTAGCCTCAAGCACCATCCTCCAAGCTATTTATTTTTAAAAAATACAAATTAACAATTCTGACCAGTAAAAATTCCCTATTTTGTTTTTTGAAAACAATAGAGAGAGAGCAAGAACACACTACAAATGCAAATCTCTTCTCATATCATTAATTTGAGAAGGACATGTTTATATGCGGTGGGGTGGTCGAGTCAATCAAATGTTGTTTTGGTTCAAAATTATGGGATTGTCTTCATATGATAATTCCATCAACTTGATCCATTGCTTAATACTTGCATTGCCTCTTGTGTGCATGGGTGGGTCGCTCTCTTCAATATTCGAATCATCCATGGAGCTATTAAACAAATTTTCAAACTTTAGTTTCGATTTGGGTAACTTTTTATTTGGTATGACAATACAACAATAGCTAAGTTTTAGTCTCAAATTAACCGGCATCGACTATATGAATCATTTGTAATTGCATCCGCTCAGAGTTCGTTGCAACAAGAACAGGCAAATCATAATATATATAGACAATCACAATTGAGCTTAAGTTTAGTACTCAATTAACGGCATCGACTATATGAATCAGTTTGTAATGACATCCGCTCAGAGTTCGTTGCATACAAGAACAGGCAAAAAAAATCCCCCAAGAAATAATATAATATATATATATATATATATTATATAGGTTAGTATAAGTATATATAATATATTAAGCAACAATAAGCTTTATAATTTCAAAATCGACATCATTTGTTATTGTACCGCCTCAGCAGGTTCGTATCAACAAATAGGCAATCATAATATATATATATATATATATAATATTATAATAAATAATATATAACAATTAAGAGCTTTATTTTCAAAACTAATATATAACAATTAAGCTTTATTTCCAAACTAATCGGATCCGCTATATGAATCTCTTGTCATTATATCCATTCGGGTTCTTAACAACAAGGATAAGCAATATATATATATATGCACGCGCGCACATACATACATTTGGTATAAATGAACTTAAATATATTTATTTATTTATTTACAAAATTATAGAATTTTTGCCGGTTTGATTAATTATTAATTTTTAAAATTGAATTAATGGCAATAAAATTAACATTTCCTTTCATATTAGACATAAACATATAAATTCCAAAGAAATTTCACAAGAATTCATTTAAACCAACAAATAAAAAAGGCCTTAGAAAGAAAGAAGAAACCTAAAATATTCAAACTCCAATCCAATCCCAAGTAACAAAGACAAAGAGTATTAGTAAGTATAATCCCTTGTAAATCAATACGCCAACAATTGGTGGTTTACAAATCATAATCTACACGTCCACTTCCAAATTCCCTTTCGATGCTGTCTTAACCTTAAAACAACGGTCTCCCATCTCTAATGTCTCCTCTTTCTTATCAATCATTTTTTTTTAATATATCTTTTGAAGTAAAAGCAAAGAAAACCAAACCAAACTCATTGTCAAATAATCCCTTCTCATCCCTCCAAAACACACAACATAGCTAGCTAGTTACTCTCATTCATCTTCACCATGGAAGAAACCCCAACTCCTCTTCTTTCTCCAAAACCAAACGAAGACTATAGCTCCTTTGTCGACACTTCTCGCCCTTTTCGCTCTGTGAAAGAGGCTGTTGCCATATTCGGTGAACGCATTCTTGTCGGAGAAATATACTCTCCCAAGCCATATTACACTCCTCCTCCTAGCCATGACACTTCATGGATGCATTACTCATCTCCAAGTCCTATAAGCCCTATTTGTAAAGAAGATAATCATGAAGGAAGTAACAATAATAATGAATTCTTGGATACTTTAAAGAAACTAGAGGCAGAGCTTGAGCAAACAAAGGTGGAGTTGAAGGTACTAAAGGAGAGAGAGTCAGAGACAGAAATTGCAGTGGCTTCTTTGAATGCTGAGTTACACAAGAACATGTCTAAGTTGGCTGAGGCAGAGGCAGCAGCAGCTAAAAAGGCAGCGGCTGCAGCAAGGGTAAGTTTTGAAAAGAGAGAAGATGTTTTTAAAGAGGAAGAAAAGAACAGAGAGTTTATGATAAGAATGGAGAATTCACCAAATTTGGCTCAAATATTGAGTCTTGGAGAAGAGAGAGGATATTTTGGAGGTAAAAAGGAGAGGAAGGTGATGAAGAAGAAGCCTTTAGTTCCTCTTCTGGGAGATTTTTTCTTCAGGAAAAAGGGGTCATCCAACAAAACACTTAATAACCCTCTTTATGCATCTGCTCATGGTGTGTATTAATTAGGGAAAAATTTGTAGCAAACTAAGTTCATGATTTGTTTCAGGTTGAATTTAATTTGATTTCTCAGAGTTTGTTGTGTGGTTGTTTGTATCTATGTTCATGTAAAATAACTAAAACTTCTTATTGCTTGTTATTTCTATAAAGTTTTGCAGTCAAGCAGAGAGAGAATTTGAATTTATTATATTTTTTTGTTAAAGTGGACTTTGTTCTTAACTAATTGGATCAAGGCTCTTAATTGCACTAATTGTTAATTTCTACAGATAGACCAAAAACATAATCCCTACATTTCTGCTAGCAGCAAGGCAAATCTTGAAGGCCTAAAAGCTATTTTTACTTCTGCAATCTAATGGTTAAAGACCTTAAAAAAATTCACATGCATGGTACAAAATAACATATAGAAATGCAAAATATAAAGAACAAATGTCTATGTCAATTGAAGGGGAAAGAAAAACCTTATGTTCATTTTGGTGTTTTTCTAATCTAATGAAAATAAAGCCCCTAACGGACAAGCAGAAACTTTGTTGAATCACCAGTTATGTCATTGCAAAAAACTAAACTAATTTAAATTTTTTACTTCTAAATTGTTCCTACATTTCAAACCATAAATTTAACTTGGTTTTACAGAACAAAAAATTGTACTTCAAACCAAGGAACTACTCACCACACGTAATTCACTATCAGTCTTGTGCATTCTTGCTTCCATTACTTCGACTTTTTCCCTTGTTTCTTTTTTATCACTTCATCAATGTACATTATACCTTTGCCTTTGTAAACTTCAGGAGGCTTGCAACTACGAACAGAGGCAGCAAACTGGTGCACCCTTTGCTTGTCAATTCCAGTGCAACAAACAACATTGTTCTTGAAGCAGAAAACGCGAACAGCAGGAGGCACTGTGAGTTCAACCTCATGACTGTATCCCAACTTGAGATATAAGAGACGGCCTTCTGCTTCTGCTCTGGCTTTGTATCCAACACCAACAATCTTAAGAAAGCGAAAAAATTTGGCATCCATTATGCTCAAGTATATTGGTCACACGAACAGTCCTGAGATAAAATAAATGGCACTAGTTCAAAAAAATATTCATATCCAAACAAAATCTTGATGGGAGAAACATATGTGTGCATATGCACAAAAAGAACAGGTAATTATGTTTCAAGAGGAATATTTCTATTGATGATTGGCATTTTGCTGCAATCATAATAAAACAGTTTGGAAGTTGGCGATTGCCTCCCAGGAAATCGAACAAATAAAAGGTAGGAGAAAGCTGCCTCTAACTTGAGACAAGAACCTTTTTTTAAAAGAAAGGGAATTTTTTGACATGATAGGAGAACATTGCCAGAAGATCAAAAGAAGTTTGTTTCTGTAATTATTGATTTGACCTAGACGTCAACCCAGCAAATGAATCAAGTTGGTTAGAAATCATTAAATCAATAAGTGTCATCAATGAAACTAGCACAAAAATGTCAACTACGTTTAAACTAATCAAGTAAATCCCAACTGCATGTAATAATTTCCTTAATTCCTCAGGTTTATGAACTAGAATTATCAAATATTTTAAATGTAATTCTCAATTCAATGTAAGATGCAGATAGCATATAATATGAAAGAACTCAACTTCAAAAAACCAGATAAACTACAAGTGCAAAATTTTTCATAAAAGATTAATAAAAGCATTAAACATATCGAAACCCAAACATCTGATGATCAAAATATTAATGAGAGCTTATACAATACCAAGTTTCAAACTTTATCAGCAGTTAAAAGAGTAAAGTTTGAACTTACACATTAGTCCTAATCTAACAACACAAAAAAAAAAAAAAAAAAAAAAAAAAAAAAAAAAAAAAAAGGTTATGAACTTACCACATTAGTCCTAATCTAACAACCACAAAAAAAAAAAAAAAAAAAAAAAAAAAAAAAAAAAAAAACATTGTCCTTTGAAAAAAAAAAAAAAAAAAAAAAAAAAAAAAAAAAAAAAACATGTCCTTTGAATCTAAAATTTTCGTTTTCATTTTCTTCTCGTTATGATGCTAAGAACAATCACTTGATGATCCAGTTCAATTTCAAGATTTCTTGCCTCTTTAGAGGAATAGATGTCGTTGAAAGCATCCACTGATTTAATCAAGAAGAAAAAAATCATGAAACTTGAGAGACCGTTGTTTTTACCTCAATGTTGCCGGAACTTAAATAACTCTAAGGCGCCGGTGGTTGGAGCTTGGGAGCCGGATTTTTCCTTCTTTAGGGAGTGAGTGTAATTAAGACGATAAAAATGGAAAGGCTGAATAAGCAAGAAAAGCTAGTGAATGTTTTGAGCTTCGAAACGACGTAGTTTATAATTCATTGGTTTATTTCCCCTAACCGGTTCGTTAAGATTGCCTCCGGGTTTGACCGGATAAACATCTGGCCAAAAATAACTGTAAACCGAATGGGTTTGATCACGGTTTAAGCTATCAAGCCTTTTACCTGGGCCTCCAATGATATTTGAATTTATAATATTTGAGAAAAAATATTTGTAGTTTCATGATAATTATAAACTTCACTTTTTATTTTATCTTTTTTTTTTTTGGTTTGACAATCTTCAAAATTGTAATTAGTTTTAACCTTCACTAATCCAAATATTCGGTTTTGCTACATACTTATGGAACCAAGTGGTCCGGTTTAAAACATTGAAAACAACTTGAACTAGAACTCTCCCTGCCAATATCAAAACAAACAGAACCAAAACTCCCAGATTCCAGCCACATTTTCCAATCAAAACAAAATTAAATTATACATAGCCCTCCATTTTCGACCATTAAACAAAAAAGGCGGCGCTAACCTCCATAAATCGCAGAGCAGAGCTTAGACAAAGATTGAAATCTATATTTCATCAAGCAATCAATCAATTGGCTTTGGGTTTTACTTTTTTTTTTTTTAGCTAACAATCAAGAGAAGGATCATGCAAGCTGTGGTGCTTAACCCGATTTATTGTAGGGCCCAGCAAACCCCAGACTCTCCTTCCTCTTCTCATCCCTTTAAGGTATTTACTTTGTTTCTCTGTAAAGTTCCTTTTTTTGTCTTTTTGAAATAATCAGCTAAAATGAACTTGTAATGAATCTCAAATTTGTAGAGTTCGAGTTTATTTGCTACTCAAGTCTCGCTTAAGCGGGAACGCAATCAGCTGCGGCGTATCCCATGTCGTTCCCTGCGGATTCGGTTGCCTGCGTTTAATCGGAGGCTAGGTTTGTTTCTGCTTACTTTCAATTTGAAGAAGATTCAAATTTAGAGGCTTATATAATTGATTGCTTCCTGTTTCTCTTTTTCAATCTGAGTGTGTGTATAATTGTGAATATGTGCGAAAATCTCTTTGAAGTTATGTCTTTTATGTTTGTTTTTTTTTTTTGGCCCTTTTTAGTGTTTGTATAATGTTCTTAAGAGAGTTTTGATAACACAACGTTTATTTCGATTTTGGTTGATAGCATATGGACTTAGTTTTCTCTTCTTTTATTGTTGGTCAACTTTTAAATGGTTCGTTATTAAATTACTTCATTTGATGATTTGCAGTCTTAAGGGCTGTTGCTACACCAGAATCAGCATTGGAATTGCCACTAACTGCAGAGAATGTGGAGAGTGTATTGGATGAGGTTCGACCATATCTCATTGCTGATGGGGGTAATGTGGCTTTACATGAGATTGATGGCAATGTTGTGAGGTTGAAGCTACAAGGAGCATGTGGCTCTTGTCCAAGTTCTGTTATGACGATGAAAATGGGTATTGAGCGTCGCTTAATGGAAAAGATTCCTGAAATAGTTGCAGTAGAACCAGTAGCAGATGAAGAAACCGGACTTGAGCTAAATGAAGAAAATATCGAGAAGGTAATCGCATGACTGACTTTAATCTTATTGTTACTTCTTCGTTTATGGCTTCCGTACGTGGTTCTGTTACTTTTGTTTGAAAGATTTGGTCTTGCATATACTTCTGTAAATAACTCATTTGGGATGAATTAAAAGAAGTGAATAGATGGTGAAAATCTCACTTCTGAAAGGACTGAACTCTATGCAGACTAAATATTGTGGGTTGCACATTAATTGTATTTCACATTAATGTTTGATTACTTTTTCTTTGTGGTCTTTAATGTTTAATTACCTTTTCTTTGCTGCCAATTTCCAATAACATGTAGGTTTTCCAAAACTGTTTTTCTACACCTGTTTAAAGTTCTAACTAAAAGACGGTTTCACTTAAGTTCTGGTTCCTGGAAAATCATTTGCTATCATCTTTTATCTGCCAGAGAATTCTAAAACACTCCAGTTTCTTTCATTTACAATTTGTGTGATACTTCCTTCTTTCAAGGGTTTTACATTTAATTCCTGTTGGGCAGTTTGAGCAATATTTTCTGCTCACCACATATATTTAGCCTCAAAAGGTATAATTAGCATCTCAGGACTTCTCTCTGCCAGTTTCATCCACCTGCAACTACTAGTTAGGCAGTCACAAAATGTTTTCTGTATATGAACAGTCCTTTACAGAGGGTGTTTGGTTTTAAATACTTGTGAGTGGATTTATTTTTATGCCTTTTTTCTATGTCTAAACATTTGTGAGAGAACAAAGTCGTCACTCCTTTAACTAAGGGAAATTAGTGCTAGTAATACTGTTAAACAAGAATTTATGAAGTACGGTTGACCTCTATTATTAGGTAACTGGCTTCTATGGGCCACAAGAACATGCCATCAATGGTAAACAAAAGGAGCTGCTTGACTTTCTGTATTCATTTTGGTGATATAAAAGTACTCGAATGAGATATAAATTTAATTTTTTTAGCTATCTTTACTTTGACAATTATTTACACTGTAAATTTTGGTCAATGGTAAGAAATGCAACAGCCTCTTAATAGTGATTTAGTTCTTTCTTCAAGAGCCCCTGGAATTTGTAGGTGTGTGATTTGCGCTGTTGAGATGAAAGTTTTTGCATGACACAATTATCCATAAAGGCTGCTTTACATGACATTGGGGATTTTTGTTATGTTTTGGTTCTCTTTTACCGGAGTCTGCACCACATAAATGCTGCAGTGAAAGTTCAAATAATGTGCTTCCACTTGCAGTTATTATGATCTAGTTAACTTATTGTGTGAGTGTTAATCATGTCAGGTGCTTGAAGAAATTAGGCCATACCTTGTTGGGGCAGCTGGAGGATCTCTTGAACTAGTAGCAATCGAAGAGCCAATAGTGAAAGTCCGAATCACAGGTCCAGCGGCTGGTGTCATGACTGTTCGAGTAGCTGTTACACAGAAATTACGAGAGAAAATTCCAGCCATTGCTGCAGTTCAGCTTCTATAAACGAAACATGCTCGCAAACTTTTGACGCTATGCCATTCAGCGACGTCCTCAAATAAATAAACTGAGAGCAAGTAGACTCATAAACCTGTATAAATAGTCATATACTGTGTGTACAGCTGAGTTAATCTTAATGCAATTGTTGAATGTTATTTAAAAATTCAATTTGAGGAAATTTGAAAGCGAAAACTCGATTTATTATGTTTTAGTGTGTTTGACATTTTTATCTTTATGGCAATTTCTTTTTACACCTGCACCTGCTAAAGTAGGAAACATCGCTTCAACAGTAGTGTTTTCTTTTACACTTGAGAATGGTGTTCAGAAATCTTATTATTTTGAACATATAGATTAAAATATCTTGAATTAATTATCATACTAATCTACCAGAAGTAACATTGAAAAACAATATGTATCGGTTTTTCTTTTATTGGTTGTTCTATTAAAAAGAAAAAAAAAAAAAAAGGAGAGAGAAAGAAATCAAGAGTACCTAAAACATTCAATAACACAAATTTCAAGAAATGCACGAAACCTTTCAATTTATAAATACATATAAATATATTAGACAATTAATAAATCAACATAGAACCAGTATTGGCTTTGTCAAAATTATAACTGAGGCCTTATCCAGATAATATAGGCAACAGCTAAATCAACCACTCGCTACCTCAACGCTCAACCTAGTGTATCTGTATTTGCTTGAACACCATCTTGTATCATACAATCCAGCACATGAGCATCTCTCAAATCCCAGTCATCCTTCAATGTCATGTGATGTGCAATCTTTTCCCAACCAGTGTGAACAATAAATGCTGCTTTTTTTATCATCCTAATGACAATAGAGTTTGATCAATGAATCAGCACCAGCAGTGAATAACCAGGGTTGCCTTGGATGAAACTTACAATCCAATATTCCTGCAATATCATGAGAAACAATTAAAGTGTAATCATTTTTCTCAACTCAAAAGTGCATACGATATATAATTAGATCTGACATGAAAAAACACAGTCTGTACAAAATTTACATAAGATAGGGGATACATATCTATTATTCCTAAAATTAATGGCGCATCCACTTTATTTTGACTAATTAATTGATCTTATGGTGATCAACGGTTCTGCATGTCAAGAAGACGCGTACTGGTAAAAAACTCACCTCTACCATTTGAGGTTGAATGTCCACGAAGAATTTCCAGTGGAACAATAAGAGGGTTCTGGTTAAGATCAGAATAAACCATGCCATGAAAAACATATGCAGTGCAATCATCAGAACACGATGCAAATAGGGGGTACGAACGATGGAATGCCACATTGGTTATATCTTTTGGATGACACCTGAGAAGTTCCAAAATCATCAAAGACAAATCAGCATATCAGATAAAATATGTAAATGGAACACCAGAAAGCTGCATACATTACATTTACTAGTGCTTGAAATTTGTAATTATATAACACCTGAAATTCAATTAGTTAAACAAAGCATTCCACTTGAAATATTTTGCCTGTTGGTGAACTATCTCCTTAACTAAGGTAAATATTTTAAGCACAATTGTGATATACTTAAAATTAATGAAGGGAAAAATATTGCTAATATTATAATGTGGGCACTTATAAGGGCAGAAAAAAGAAATCTCCGACATACTTGAGAATTTTGTAAGGCTTTGATGAAAGGTCCATATCAAACCAACATAATTTTCCCTCCTTGCTTCCCACAATTACATTATCACCTGCATCGAAAGGAAACCTTAGATATATGACTAGAACAAGAAATAAATACAAGGTGTGAAAAATCATAAATGGGAATGGAGGTAAAACCAGCAGGATGAACTGAAATAGAGGAAACTTCGCGGAGTCCTGTCTCAAGCTTCTTAATCAGCTTGTGCTTCAACAAATCATAAACACGAACATTTTTCTTTGTTGCAACAAAGAAAACAGAACGAGTAGGATGAAAAACTGATGTTACTGGAAGTCCATGCAGCTTAAAAGGTAGTCTTTGTGTAAGCTTCTTAGAGAGCTGGTGTATGAGAATAGCTTTTGATTCACGTGATTAACAAGTCAAGAAAATGCAAATGTGTTCGAATACATGCCTATTTCTACTTCACACACAAATATCTGCCTACCTTGGGGGAAAATCAAATTTACATAACAATCCTTGGATAATTAACCAATGTTTCAATATTGATATGCATCAACATAATCATATTGCACCTAATCAAAAGCATAACCATTTGCAGAATTCCCTCATCACAAGTTATACCTTAAAAGGGAATCATTATAGTCCTATGATGATCCTTGACTAAATAGGAACAGAACTATAACTACATATCACATAGACAAGGTCCATAACCTTGATTTACCAAGATGTAGAAATTTCTAGGATATTAATTCTTTACCATCCAGATGTTACCCTAAGTAACATTCCTTACTTTTATATTCTTGAGAACATACAGATGAACCTTAAGTTTTCACAAAAAGATGGAATACGTCCACCAACTGAGAGCAATAGAAAACCATCCTCACCAACACATAAAACAGACATCAGTTAACAGGCGTGAAGGTGTCGTTTTTACAATAACGGAAGCCAAAAAACAGACAAATACATAATATAAACATGGAAACAAATTGATAAAGAAACAATAAAAACCTAGCAAGAAAGATCAACATAATTCATACATGCAGAAGTTTAATTAAATAGGAGCAAAAGAAGGATATCAGCTGGCATCACGCTGCACAAATAGTCCCCTTTACGATGCCATTCTACTGAAGATACAGTCTGCAAGAAACCATAATGTAAAAAGTTAATAAACCCAAAAAGGAGTTTCAAACAAATATCTTCCAATAACCATAGATGAAGAGAAAACTGCAGTCAACATATGAATACAAGAGGAATTACCCTAAAATGCCGCAACTTTATTCCTCCATGAATGTTGTCTTGAAGCCAGCTCAAACTGGAACTTGTTTTATCTGTACATACATGATAATTTTATGTGAGAATTGGAAAATATTCATTTCTATCTGTTGTTGATAATGATAGCTATTTTTACACAGACCAGAATCATCTGAAACAGTAGGTGTCTCAACATGAAGTAGTTCCTTCACTTTTTTTTGCACTTCTCCACTGCCCAATCCAGTATTGAGAACAATTACATCTTGTCCCCTGCAGAATTATTCTTCATCAAATTAAAATGCAAGAAAATGAAATTTGCAAACTAGAGAACATTTGGGTTAAAAAAATTAAGCACACTGCAATTGAGAAACGAAATTATTCTTACACAGATACTGCCAAGATAGGAAGCTCATGAGAAGGATTCCATGCTACACATTGGACAGCTTCACCAAGCTCCCATATTTTAATACATCTACCCGTCTCAACCTCCCAAACACGTACAGTTCCGTCAGTTGCACCTTTTTAAAGATGATTACACCATGAGATAGATGCCCAATGATAATGAAAATTTTCTTGGGAAAGACAACTATTAAGATGATATACAAACCTGAAGCAATCCATTGTCCTGAAGCTTCAGTGGAAATTGACATAACTGCACCTTTATGACCTCTATACTCAAGATAGCATGTCACAGGGTAAGGCTTAAGATCTCTTCTACTTGGCAGCTTAGGTTTCAATGATTCAGGATCAATATTAATCTGAAATATAGCAAGGAAGAATTTTCATTAGCTTGACTGCGTAGAAGCGGACTGGACTAATACAAAGATCTTGCAAGAAAATCATCAAAAGCTATATTTTACAAGCATTCAAAAACATGGTCTTCAACAGGGGTCACCAACTTACACGTTTCTTACGAACTCTAGGGCACAAGTATAGATCCAAACAACGTTCAAAAGAGTCCTTAACAGCATTCTCATATGCAGGGATGCTTCTTAGAGATGTAAACCTAATCAGAGATAATTTTTTTTTAAGATACTAGATATTCAAAAATAAAACTAGAAATGGAAATAAGAATCATAGACCAAGATTTTGAATCACCGTTTAGGTATAAATTTAGGTCGGTCTTCCTCATCCATCAGCATATAAGAATTAATCTCTTCTTGTGTTGGGACGTATTCCAGGGAAGGATTATACGACTCCTCATGGCCTGAAACAAAAATCAGTATAAGATATATCATGTGCATAAAATTCTGAAACTTTAAAAAAAAAAAAAAAAAAATTGCAGGTATTGAAAATGGTACCTGGCAATTTTGGCTTTGGTGCAGGGATGTAAGATAAATGTGCAGCCTTTTCAGCTGAGCCAGAATCATCACCCCACAACAAGTGAAAACGTGGTTCTTCTTTTGGCTTGTCAAACTTTATTAAACCTTTACGAATTGCCCTAACATACTTTACAACCTATATATTCCAAAGTGAGATCAATGAACCATGTTAAAATTTTGACCAAGAGATGCCAAGCGTAAGTCATATAATTGCTTATTCAGAAATAATAAATCCCAATATAAAGGCTAAGAAAACACTTGGCCAATTCCATGGTTTGGAACCAAAAAGAAAAATTACCATTTTAGCTTCCCATTTTGAGGGAGTAAATCGCCTCTTTGGTTCGGGAGCATTTGACAGTGGATGCTTCGCATCCCAGTCGAACCAGTCGCTGTAAGTCTGAAAAAACACATAAAAACACAAAAATTCAGCATAATAATATACATAATATGACAAATTAATCATGAAAACTAAAAGTAGTCAACAGGAAAATTAATGAGAACTACAGACCGGATATGGTTCAAAGTCAAGATGCGGAGCCTTTCCTTTGACCAATCGACGAATAACTTTTATTTCTTCTTTTGTTAGTTCTACCACTTCATCATTGTATTCATCATAAATTTTGCGCCTGAAAATAACCAAAATTGGATATTAAAAAAAACACAAATAAATAGTACCTTTATGTGTGTTAACAAAAAGGACTTAAATTTCAGTAATCAGAAATGGAATTATAGTAATTAATGTATGGACAACAAAAACAGAATAAAAGCATATAAACAAACAGCTGATTCATATCAAATTCCTGACACTGATGCCAATCAATGATTCCAACATTTCATACAGTGTAGCAGCAACTGAAAAAAAAAACATCCCAGCCAAAAAAGTTGCAGTCAGTAATCAATGCAAAATTGGGAGGGATAAGTTCCTAGAATGGCTGGAGAACAGTTGCCTGGATTACAGAGTTACAAACCATTTATATTCATCCTGATTCAGTTAAACCTCAGATTCATGAAGTGAAAAAAGAAAATGTGTTCCCATTGATGATAACCAAAAAATGAGAAAATAATTACAACTGGAAACTCACCAATTTTCTGAATCATCAGCGCTTGCAAGAAACGACTCCAGTTTATCTTGCCTCTCCTTCTTTGTTATTTTCCTCCCAGCTATATCATATCCAATATGTTTTTCATCCTCGTACCACTTCAAGGGAACATCTCCAACCGTATTTCGAGGAGCCACCTTATAAAACATAAACAATATAATTAAAACTTCCAGTAAATAATGGTAAAGCATTAAGTAAATATATAATTCAATTTGAAAAGGAAAGAAGGGGAGTAGAAGAAGCAATAAACCTCATCCTCAGAGGAATCACTTTCTTCAGCAACTTTATCAGATTCTGAACCTTCACTTTGATCTTCATTGTCCACGCTATCATTATTGTCAGTGTCAATAGAATCCTGCAATAGTTTACTCTTATTGTAATTTCTACCTTCATTGTTATCTCTTTTTCTATCATGTCTTTTGTTTCAAAGACCAACTCATAGATAAAACCAAAATTTGAAAAATATAAACCTTGATCTTTCCATATTTCTTGGCACGTAGTGCATTTGCATATCAAAAGAAAATGAAGGAAATTACCATGTACCTCATCTCCAGATGAATTGCTTTCTCCAGCTTCTGAATCCCCAGATGATTCAAAATACTCGCCCTCAGAATCAGAAAGTTCCTAATTTGACAAACATTAACTCAATGATACCAACTACTACAAATTGAAATTAACAGTTCAAAAAACCAACACATTGTAGTATAAGCATGTACAAATGTACGCTTAACCCAAACTAACTAAGAATTACAAGCAAATGAAAAGGTTAAAAGCTTCTAAAATTTATAAACAAGGTCCTAACTCCAAAATATAACTGCAAATTTCTGTTTGTTTCTTGAGAATATAGTAGTTACCTCAAACTCAGACTCGGAATCAGTAGCAATTTCTTTTTCTTCCAGATAGTGTTCAGGCTCTTCACTATTATTAAGTTTGTCTTCCTTTGATTGGTTTTTTATACTCTTTTCTTTGTTTTTATTATTCTTGTTCTTCTGCTTCGCTGAATTCATCTGAAGGGACTGTTTCTTGCCCGCCCTCATTCTCACTCGATGAAAGATTTCGTCTTTCTCTCTAGGAACAAGAGTTGAGTTAGGATGAAGAGAAGGCTGCAAGAAAGGAAAAGGAATTTGGGGTTAGGGTTTTTGGGGTTTTGTGGTTAAGAACTGTAGAGTTTTGAATCCAATCACACTGTAACTGGGCTTCAATTCCATGGCCCAATGTTTTATTTGGTAGAAATAGAAACCTTAAAGAGAAAATAAAAAATAAAAAATAAACAGAAATAAAAATATAGGCTTGTTTTCTAAAAATAAATAATAAGGGTCCGATTTTATTTTTAAAAATCTACATCTTTTTTTTTTTTAATCATCATACAAAAAATCTAAACTACTTAATGACTTTTTTAAAACTGTGGTTTGGTTCATAACTTAGCTTAATTGACTTCTGTCCAATGTTTTATCTCATGTAGAGGGACTCAATAATAAAATGGGAATCAAGATTATATTAGAAAGATTAGCACTAGTTTTAGTAATGAAAACAAAACTCTCGTAATTCAACAACTGCCATTTTATATAATTAGTTCAGTTATAAATAGAAAAACCAAAATCTAAAACGATCGTCAAACTTCAGAACTCTCTTGTTTTGATTATTTAAGATTCGTTTATTTCCGTAAAATACCCTGCATAAATATTTTTTCCACAATTTTTTTTGTTGTTTGGAGCACTCAGAAAAATAAGTCAACAAAAAATATTTTCTTAGACAAAGAAAAATTAAGTCATTTTTTAAGAAAAATAACTTCTTGTTTTCGATAGGGTAAAATATTTTTCGAACATTGACAAACTTTATAAATATATATATTTTTAATTTATTAATCATCGTAGTCACTACCACCAGTCACCACTTATCATCAACTACCACCACCAGCGACTTTTTCATAATTTATATTTTTTTTTCATCTTCTCACGTTTAACAATAAAATTATAAAATTTCTATTACTATTAATATTTTTAATGGTCTTACGAGATAAAAACTTTAATACTTTTAACTAATTTGCAATATTACAACCAAATAACGGAAAATAAGTTATTTAAAAAATATTTATCAAGGAAAATGGAAATATTTTCAACAAATTATTTTTATACATGTTATTTTACGGAAACAAACAGAACATTAATATTTCAATGTTTAGATCATTTCGAGCCAATTAACTAGATAGAACGTAATCATGTTAATTTGATTCGTTTTGTTTTTAAATTTTTATGGCGCGTACACTTGATTTTATTCAATATGAAATGGTTTTAATTAAATTGGCCGATTTTTTACTTATAGTTAGAGACACTCTCCATAAAAATAAAAATAATATATTCACTTCAAAAACTTTTGAAAATATTTACATTATACTTTATAATATATATAAATTATTGTGTATTTAATAGTCATTTTTAAGGATATACCAAAGGAAAAAGACCTTGGGGATGCCAAAACAATCGCAAGTTTCTTTTTTTTTTTGAAATTATCTGAACTGAGCTCAAATCTACTAGATTCGAAGCTTAGTTCGATGAAATTAAGCTTGGATCAAAACTCATGAGTCTGAAATTTTAAACTTGAGCTTGACTTGAAACTTAAGTTTGAAAAATTTTTCAGATTAAGTTCGCTCGAGACTTGAGTAAATATAAAATAAATTTTATACATAAAAGTTCAATAAGACTCAACAAGCTTTCAAGCCAATCATTGAAGTTTTTTGAACTTTTTCAAATTGACCTTGAATAGTTTGCAAACCAGCTCAACTCATTTACATTTATGATCATTTTATATTTTTATAGTAATCGTCAGCAACCACCAAATACTACCTATCAACAACCACCGTTAGCTTACAATCAGATGGACCATTAGGTTTTTTGGACCAATTTTTATGAAGAATTGGCTTGTGGCCTATACCGTTGCATAGGGATGATCACAATTCTGTTTCAAATTGAAACCATAAACTTAAAATTCAGTTTCGGTTTTTCATTTTTTTAAATCAAAACCAACGGTTCCAATTTGAAACCGTGAAAAATATAATTTTAAAGAAACTCCTAGCTTATTTTTTATTATAATTTTTTGAAGTAATTTTTAAGAATTTTTATTAATTTGATTTAATTTTGTTCATTAGTAATATTTATTATTATTATTTATTCAAGCTATAAATCTTAAAAATATTTTTTAAAATATTAAAATATATTATTTAATTTTAATTTAAGCTATAAAAATCTTAAACAATATTTTTTTAAATTATTTATTCAAGCTATAAATCTTAAAAATATTTTTTAAAATATTAAAATATATTATTTAATTTTAATTTAAAATTGAAATCGACAGTTTTAAGATTATTTTTAAAATCATATAAAAGCGTTTCAATTTTGATTTTATTTTTTTATAATCAGAATTAACGTTTTTGAAATTAAAATACGCAGTTCTGGAAAAGTGGTGATGCCCACCGCTGGCTAGTTACTGAATGAACGCGAGGGGGTCCAAGGCAGAAGATCTTGACGCATATGCGTATTAAGTTGTTATAATGAACACGATGGGGTCCAAGGCAGTAGATCTTGACGCATATGCGTATCAACTTGTTATCATACACACGGCCGTATTTACCAAACATCAACTATCGTTCTGAAAACAGAATCTAAACCGCAAACTGACTATAGTGAATGCAATTTCTTCCCCTTCAAAATCTTCCTTTTTTTTCTCACTTGGCCGCTTCACATCAACGGCGGCGTTTCTCTCTCTCCTTCTCTCTATAATTTCTCCATTTCTACTCTCAGTAGAGCTTTGTTTTTGCTAAGAAAACCATGTCTATGTCTCTTCTCCATCCAAATTTCCAACAATGCCCCGCCGCCTTCTCTTCCTCCACCTCTCTCTTCCCGTCCCATGCGTCTTTTCGCATCATTTCTCTAAAACCTTCTGGTCCTTCTTCTCTTAGACCTGTTTTCTGTTGCATATCCCAGTCTCAGGTCTCAGTTGTTAATGGCGGAGTCAATACTAGAGCCTCTGAGAGGAATGAGATTCGTCTTGGTTTGCCTAGTAAAGGTCGCATGGCTTCCGATACTATTGATCTTCTCAAGGTAATGCGTGAAGGTTTCTGTTTGATTCCTAAGAAAATTATGGGTATCGGGAGGAGAGAGGCATATTTTGTTTTTGAGTTGTCTAGCAGTGAATGCAATCGCAGAATTCAATTTGATTTGATTATAATAGACTCTGCTTTGGATTAGTATAGCTACAGGTGAATTAATGAAACATTCAACAAGCTGTTGGAAAAGATAGGACTCGTCAAATTCGGAATTTTCTTACTAAATTGATTTAGTTAAATTAGTTAAAATTTAGCTTTTAAGAATATGGTAACTTAATTAACGATGTGTTTGGTTGCTGAGAATATGATGAAGAGTAAATAAAAGTGGATTTTAGAACTTCAATCTTACACTTTTATTGTACCAGGACTCTTAACTAATATTTCTAGCATAGATGAGTAAGACGATGTCTAATCTTTTTATTTTCTGTTGCCTAGTGAAAACAATATCGGACATTATATATTAGTAAATAAACAATATCGACATTATATAATATATATATTTATATATATGTATGTATATATATATATATATATATATTATATTATATTCTAATTTAAAGATGTTAAAAAGAAGTTCTATTTTGAGTTCCACCTTCGCATTTTTGAATTCCAACTGATTCATTTCTGTACTTTTTGTAAAGGACTGTCAACTGTCCGTCAAGCAGGTAATCCTCGACAATATGTTGGCAACTATATATATATATATATATATTCTAATTTAAGATGTTAAAGAAGTTCTATTTTGAGTTCCACCTTCGATTTTTGAATTCCAACTGATTCATTCTGTACTTTTTGTAAAGGACTGTCAACTGTCCGTCAAGCAGGTCAATCCTCGACAATATGTTGCACAAATTCCTCAGGTTTCTCTTCTATCTTTCTCTTTGAAGCATGCACATTAGGGTAGTTTTTGATTTTGATGTGAGTAATTGAGAAGGGCCAGTGCTTCGATATTTTTGAACCCTTTTTTTTCACACTTTGTTGGGAATGCATAAATAGGTGCAAATGATGAGTGAATGGAAAGCTACTACAACCAGTGTTTTCCCAAAACTTGTGAATGTTGGTGTAGTTCAGACTAAGCTTAGTGCTGAGTGTGAATGGCATGTTAGGTATTCGTTAGAAAAACAACTTTTAGTCAGTTCTTGATTATTGTGAGTAGTAGTATAGCTCCTGCTGCAATTGTGCGACTTTTGCATGTATCTGTGACATAAGGATCTGCAAATGATCTTCATTTATTTGCAGCATCTTCTCCTATGAGGGATGGACTTCTGTGCTGCTGTCACATGCAATTGTCAAATCCATCTTCCTTTTGTTTTATTTTGGTTGTGTACGTGTCTGGATTTTCCACTTATTTTCTAATATCTAACAGTCATGTCCTTCTAGTGCCATGTCATGTGAGCACTGTGCAAAGGAAAAACGTACTTTAAAGTAGCATTTTGTGGTACTTTCTGGACATCCCATTTCTAATATGTGTTGTATGCTATCAAATAACTAGTAAGACTAATGTTTATTTGTTGGCTAGTCCATAAGTGGTAAGGTGTTAAAATTGCAATATAGCTTGGTTGTCCGTTGTTACTCCATGTGCAACCACTGCCATAATTTTGGTTAAACTTGCAGTTCTCGTCTTTGCGTTTAGTGTTGACTATAATATGACAAATGTATGAGCAATGTTTAATCTGGACTTTGGACTTAGAACTTGTTTTATTGACTGTCTATGTTTAGCTGTTCCCAATTAATTGATCCATGCCTTGATACTTGTTTGCTCTGCACAATCTTAAGCTTGTAGTCTAAAATTTTTAACTCAATTTCCTCCTTTTTGAGCTTGTTAGATGTGGTCTTCTTAAGTTGTACATTTGATTTGTCAGATATGGTTATAACACTGTTTATTTATGGCAATGCAAATTTGTGTGTTTACATTTGCTTAGTTTTTGTTTTTATTTTTTTCAATTTTTTCGGTAGATGAATATGGATAAATGTTTCATATGTATTGTTCTTCTGCAGCTTTCCAACGTGGAAGTCTGGTTCCAGCGACCTAAAGACATTGTGCGAAAATTGTTATCAGGAGATTTGGACCTTGGAATTGTTGGTTTTGATACAGTCAATGAATATGGACGGGTAAGCAGTATCCTTATTTGAGTTGGTTCCTTTGAAGGTTTATTGAAGCTACTGATACATCCACAGGCATAGCCAGAGTAACTGGTTCTTGGAACCAGAATCATTTCTATTTGATCTCTGTTTTTGCTAATTATTTAGACCGGCACAGGAATGATATATTTTAAATGTTCCATATCATAGCGATTAATCTACATGGTTGTATGCTTTTGATTGATTCCGAGCTTGTCTAATGATCCATGAGGCAATTTGTCATGGTTTGTGCTTTTAGCGATTGCTTCCTATACAAATCACCAACCACATGAAGGATTCTTGAATGTAGTAGCTGATGCTGCTAATGACCCTGTTAGAAAGACATCTGAGCATTTTCACCTCCAAAATATATATGCATATTTTTAAGATACTGCAGTGGGCTCATAAACTGTGCAAAACTGGACATCCTGGGTATAGTTGGTATGGAATCAAGTATTAATCAAATTTTAAATGCTAAGCATCTACCAAAAATTTCATGCATTTTGTCAATTTTAGTTTTTCCTTTTGGTGCAATTGATGCCAATTTGTGTTGCTCATGTTTAATATGAGAAATAAAAATTGTAAAGCCTGTAGCATGCTGATATTCTCATTCTATCATTTTCAAATTTATTTTTTCTCATTTTTCCCAGCTTTGTATCTGTCTCTTGATATGAATATGGAGGAGTGCACTAACTTAGAATATTGATATTTGGACAAAAATATTTTTGCAGGGGAATGAAGATCTTATCATTGTTCATGATGCTCTTGAGTATGGGGATTGCCGTTTATCCCTTGCAGTATGTTTTTTGCCTTTTCTCTTGGTTCAGATGTAGTCAATTACAACTTTAGCACACTGATTTTAGTAATTCTGTCAATATAAAAATTCTTTTGGTTTCAGATTCCTAAATATGGGATTTTCGAAAATATAAATTCAATTGGAGAGCTGGCAAAAATGCCTCAATGGACAGCTGAGAAACCCCTCAGAGTTGCTACTGGCTTCACTTATGTATGTTATGTATCAAGTTTATTTTTAGTGCATAGTTAGTTTTTCAAGAACATTTTGTTGTTTTAGTTTTGTACAATATGGTCTTACTAATATTTTTTTCTTCCCTATCTTATGCCCAGCTGGGTCCTAAATTTATGAAAGAAAATGGATTGGAGCATGTGACATTTTCAACTGCAGATGGAGCATTGGAAGCTGCTCCTGCGGTGAGACAAAATCCTCTATCATTTTGCAGAGTGAATAATGTTTGATCTAATATAAATTAATGTAACTGATTTAGGATGCTGTCAGCCTGTCACTAATTCTTAATCATGAGTCAGCATTTGATGCATTGCCTCACTAGGAAGGTGGCTGGAAGTAATTTGATTAACTTCAAATTTTTAGATTTTGCGTAGATAATATGAAAATGCTCATATGTTTTCCTTTTTCCTGGTGCTTTTTTATCTTGTAAATTGTGCATCAGGCAGTGCAGTTAAATTCTTTCTTTTTACTTGCTGTTCACTTACCGATAGATGAGTTAATTCTTAGGAAGCGACTATCTTGACAAGCTGTGGACATTGATTTACTAATGTTTCAGGTGTGCACAGCATGCTCCAATTTGGAGTTTTCTCATTTTCACTTTCTCTGGGTTAAAGTTTCTGTAGCCCAGTGGTTTAGGCAATGGAATTTGATGATGACATATTCAGCTTGATCCAAAAAAATAGATCACAAGCATAAACAAAAGTCCTATTTCCCTTACAGTACTTGCTTGTTTCTTGGCTTGAGAGTTTCATATCTTGAAAAATGGTGCTTATGCTGTGGCCATGTGTATTGATACAAATAATTGTCTTTGCTTTTAAGATGGGAATAGCAGATGCTATTTTGGATCTTGTGAGTAGTGGAACAACATTGAAAGAAAACAATCTGAAAGAAATTGAAGGTGGAGTTGTATTAGAGAGCCAGGTAAGTTATGAATATATATAAAATATATACTTTATTAGCATGTAATTGTCATCTTATATTAAAGCTAACCTATTCTTCAGGCTGTTCTTGTTGCAAGCAGGAAATCCTTAATGCAGCGGAAGGGTGCCTTGGACACAATTCATGAGATTCTTGAAAGGTTAGAGGCACATTTGAGAGCAGTTGGTCAGTTCACGGTGTGTATGTCACATATTTAATTCTGTGCCCCCGTCCACTTTGTTCTCTTTGCTTTCTAGAATAATGGCGGTAACACTTTCATGGCAGGTAACCGCAAACATGAGAGGAAGTAGTGCAGAGGAAGTGGCTGAACGTGTACTGAGCCAGCCATCTTTATCTGGGTTGCAGGTGAGGACAAGATAGAAGCTATCTCACTTCTATCTGGAATACTGTGACTGGGACCAATTTTCTTGTGGGTCAGCATACACCCATTTTCTTTGGAATTTATTCTCCTTTTCATTTCAAGCACATAGTTTTTCTTTTGTATGGAAGAGGAAGGGAGTGGAGTTAATAATGTATCTGCTGTTACCTTAGTCCTGCAGATTTTTTGGAATAAATCCTTTTGGTTTTCCTCAAAAGACTTGCTTAGGACTGTGGCTCATGATGCCAAGATTTGAGATGCTTTCCACTTAGACAATGCCTTGGGTGATTTTAATTTCAAGTACCTTTTCTTTTGTTGTCACACAGGGGCCTACTGTAAGTCCTGTTTTCTGCAAACGTGATGGAAAGGTTTCACCAGATTACTATGCTATAGTCATTTGTGTCCCAAAAAAGGCATTATACAAGTCTGTACAGCAACTAAGAGCGGTGAGTTACCTAATTGTCATATAATTTGTAATATTAAAAAATGGTATTTCTAACTTTGGGTTTGCCAGTAGAACCTTTAAGTCTAAATGTAGAAGGCTCAATATTTCCTTCTCTTTTTCCTTTCTTCTCCTTTACTCTTTTGCTTCACCTTTTGGTTTGGAAGTTGGGGAAGATCTTTATATGGAGCACCCAAAGTGGCTTAGAGATCAAAATGACAGATATACTTATGGGCAAAATTACCCTTTGGATGTGTTACATGGTATCTAGTTCTGACTTCTGACCGAATCACATAAACAAGCCAGAAACTAGCATAGGGTAATTCATGTACTTTGTTGTTGGTGGCCTCTCTTTTTCTCTTTCATTTTTTGTGACCTTTATTTCTGAATGGCATATATTTCACCCAACTGTTTACACTGGAATGATGTTCATGTTTTCCCATCTCTGCTCAAGATTTTGTACCCAATTCAAAATTTGACTTGTAGAACGAATTTAGTTCAAGTTTACAGATACTCCTACTAATTGCTATTCAGTTCAACTATTTATTATTGCTTATACTCTAATGTTCTTTTGCAGATTGGAGGTAGTGGAGTTCTAATTTCTCCTTTAACCTATATTTTCGAAGAAGAGACTCCAAGATGGCGCCAGCTTCTTTCAAAACTTGGGCTGTAGCTCATTGCATCCAATGTTATTATTACTTCTCGTTACCGTTGTGCAGCTTCTTGAAATATTCAGGATGTCTGATCGGTAAATTATCTGCTCTTGGCCATATTCCGAGTGTTTAAAACGTGCAACAAACTGGACAGTTTACAAAAAAATTTTGTAATTTTTCTGTATTTTATGTCAAGCAACTTGAACTCCTTAAATGGATTTTCATTCAAGTTTAAGATTCTGTACACCACCTCATATTATTTTACTTTAACATTCAGAATATGTTAGCATGATACGTTTCCAAGTTCATTTTACAACTCTGATTTGTGTCGGTGTCAAATGAAACTTGGCAGTTGACTATTGTGTGTTGATAGGCAATGGTATAGTGTGGTGAAGGACATTCAATAATATGTTTAAACCATATCAAATCGAACCGCAATTGCATTGCGTTTCTTTATGGTTTTATGTGGTCCTTCCCATTCCAAAATATGAAAATATGGTTTGGATAGAAAAGTGAACCATTACCATAAGTTTCTGATTTCAAGATTTTGTAGTGATAGTAGTTTTTTCAACCCTATGTTTCCCAAAATTGAATTCTCGGGTTCACCGATATTTACTTTCTATGCTGCAAGATGGCTGTAAATTGTAATTGTCTGCTTCGACTTACAGATTTACATGAATTATTATCAAAAATCTTGTCGTCAAATAAGTGAAAATGAAAGGTCAACTTCAGTATCATGTTTATTTTTCTCTGTGAAAAGCTGTTACCCGTTAAGCATTATTATAAAAGTTAAAAACGAGAAGGTGATCATCCTAGTTAAAACCAACAAAATGGAGTTAGATTAAACAGACAAACCAAAAAAACAGACAGACAGACATGACATTGTTGTTAACAACAAAAAAAAAAAAAAAAAAAAAAAAAAAAAAAAAAAATTCTTCTGTGAAAAGCTGTTACCCGGTTAAGCATTTATTTATAAAAGTTAAAAACGAGAAAGGTGGATCATCCTCATTTAAAAACCAACAAATGGAGCTTAGATTAAACCAGACAAACCAAAAAAACAGACAGACAGACTATTGACATTTGTTGTTAACAACAAAAAAAAAAAAAAAAAAAAAAAAAAAAAAAAAAGATTAAAAAAGAAAAAAAAAAAAAAAAAAAAAAAAAAAAAAAAAGAAAAGTTTAGGGCCCATGAAAATCATCACTTAATGAAATCAACACCACAGAAGGAATGGCCCAAAATTTAAGTTAACGATTCTGATTTTCTCATGTGAAATTTCCTTTCTCACACGACCAGAAAGCCTTATCTTTTCTTCACCCTTGTTTTCCTTTTATTAGAAAGAAAGTACCTTTATTATTCATGCATGCCAAATATTGAAAATATTTAAAATGTATTTTTTTTTCTAAAAACAAAAACAGACTAAAAGAATAATTTCTTTCCTCTTTGACTTTAGATCATAATTGGATAATTGTTTTTAGCATTACATGTGTGTACCTATATGTGCATTACTGACATTGTGCACCACACATCACTTTTATTTTTATTATTTTTTTTAAAACGCTAAAATATTATTATGATCCATAATCCATTTGGTCTCCTAATAAATAAAGAAATAAAAGAAAATACGATCTCATGTTATTTAAAAATCCTTAATTTAATTTCGAGTAATTAAGTCATTTTACATATTCATTTTCTTAATTTTTTTATTTAACTTGTTAACCATAATGTATTTTTAAGTAGAAAAGAGGTTTATATTTTAGTCTCCCACTTCAACATTTAAAATGAATAGATAAACCTTCTAAACATTATCAATAGAAACAGCTGGTGAATGCACCCACCAAATTTTATCCCCTCTTTTCGCCTACCTTCCATTGCATAATGAACATACAATTTCAAGAACCAAATCTTATCATTGAGCCCACTCAAGATCCTCAATTTACATTTTTACTATTTTTTTTTTTTTAGTAACCAATAATGATTTAAACATGAATCTATTTTAAGATCATAATGTATTTACCACTAGGTTATGTCTCAGTGCGCATTATTGCTAATTTTATTGAGCCTTCCTAAAAGCACAAGGGTTGACATTAAAAATTTTGAATTAGAAGTTAAAAAATATGATCAATCAAATTACTAAAGATTTGATATTACCAAGAAAAATAATAATAGTAATATTAGTAAATAATTTGTGGTAAACATGTAAATTTTGGGTTAGATTTTTCTCTCTCTAGGTGATTACATGTATAATTTACAAGACATTTTTTTTATATATTATTCTTTATCTTATATAAATAGAAAAAACAAACAAAATGTTTTTATGTTGTCTTTTCTTTTTTATAGAATGTGATATGATAATGGTTTTATTATTAACATTCCACTTTAAACATTTTTCTTTAAGGCATCAATTTAACAAATCAATTTAAATTAACTTCCTAATTAACTATAATAAGCAAGAATGATATGAAAAACAAATAGAGTAGTCTAAATTCTTGGGCAATAAAAGTATATTTTTTTCCCTTTCTTTTTTTTATTATTTAAATTTATAAAAAAATGAAAGTATTAAATGAGTCAAAGATACTTATGGATTATTTGAGATTTTGCATTTGGAAAAATTATTTCATTGTTTAATAAATTTAATCAACTTACTTCAAACATGCTTATTAAGTTTGATTTCATATTCAAGCCTACCACTTCACAATTTTTTTAAGCGAAATAAATTAATTGAGTTTGAATTTGTTTTTTCAAGTTTGAATATATATTTTATGAGAATAGCTCGAACTCAACGGTAGTTTGATTTAGACGATTCATAGTTTCACTTTAATCTTATATAAATTTAATATTATATTAACTTGAGAAAAAATCATGAATTTGAATATAGATATATACTAAAAAAATTGCATATTTTTATTAAAATTGGCATTTCAAAAATGTTTTATGATAAAATATGATGAAATAGAAAGAACAAAAATAAATGAAGTGGACAATGAGCAACTATAAAAACAGCTTTCATCATAAAATAGAAACAGCAAATCATAAGAAAACTAAAAAAAAAAAAGGAAAGAGAATAAAAATTAAAGAGATAAGAGTGTTTCACTCATCAACCTTGAGTCGGAGAAGAGTCCTCCTTTTGGTAAAACAAATTAAGAACCGTTTCCTCTCTCTCTCTCTCTCTCTCTCTCTCTCTCTCCTCTTCCAATCTAAGCAATATCACAGCTGTATTCACCTCTCTTTCTGTCTCTCTTGTGCTCTCTCTTTCTTTGTCTTTCTTTCTTCTTTCCTTTCTTTAAGCGCCGACACAATTCTTCAATTTCTTCCATTCTGATACTCTCTTATTCTCTTTTAGATCCAATCTTTGTTTCTTGCAGTTCAATCCCGAGTCCAAACGGAGTCAATTTTACCATAGAACACCGATTTGGACTAACCCACCTGAAAAAGCTTTGAGCTTAGTCTGGAAGTTAGTTCTAACCGAGGTGGGTGTGCCTGCAAAATCTGTACAAAGCCAGCTACAAAATACAAATCGCCTTGGAATTTTCTGTCTTTGACATTTTGGTTAAGTTGAGTCTATTGAAGTTGGTGCTACGTAGGAATTCGTAGAGAAATGGTGGTTTCGTGATAAAGGGTGATCAGTGGAGAATTTGTTGGTTTCTTTTAGTTAGGTACAGCCATGGAGACGGCAGGGGCAACGACCACTCAGAGCTTGACGGACTCCTACAAAGGCATGTCCTCTGATAATATCAAAGGTTTGGTTTTGGCGCTATCTTCAAGCATCTTTATTGGTGCTAGCTTCATTGTTAAGAAGAAGGGCTTGAAAAAAGCTGGTGCTTCTGGTATCAGGGCAGGTATGTAATTGTTATATCATTGTGGATTCATTTGTGAATTACAAAAAAGTTTGTGTATTCAGCTGCTTATGTTGTGTGGAAATGCTGTGCGCTATGCATTGATTTGATTCATTTTGGATCTATGTTGCTGTTATATGTGATGCCACATCAAATTTGAAGATCGATCTTCTTCACATGGAGTCTTTATTTAGAAAGCTTGTTAGATAATTTTGTCTACTAATTCTCAATGAGATTCGATCAGGCAAGAGGGCAGTTAATTGATGCCAATCATTAGATTCTTGTAGATCATATTAGATTGGGCTGTTCATTATTTAGTTAACTAAGGGTTTTAGAAAGCGCGTGAATATTAGTTTCACTTTGAGTAGATTTGGGCCACTGCATTCTAGTTTGGGATTTTGTATATAGATTTCTACAAAGTCTCAATTTTGGAGTTTAATCTTCTCATTTAATGGAATAGTAAAGTTGAGCTCCATGGCTCCTTGTGGTGAACAGACGACGTTCTTCTGTTAGTTTGTTTAGGCTTGTGCTCATTTTTGTACAGCAATGTAATGGCAAAGTGGTAATCTGGACTTCATGTGGCTCCATGTATAGGGCAATTTTGTGAAGTTTGGTTTTGGGAAGATCCATTTCTTGGACTAGCAAAATAAGCATTTTAGAGAATAGTGTTTTATTATGGCATTCTACCTGCTAGAATGTTGATAATCGGTTTAGTTTCTTGATAATTTGGGTGAATCTAATTTTTCAAATTCACAACACATTTGCTGTGGATAAAAATTCCTTTGCGATAAGATATATAAAGTTCCAGTGTGCAACTTTTTGCGGAGCATGTATTCAAATTTTTTTGCAGTCTCTCTCTTTCTCAGAAAAGTTGAGCAATCATTTCATTTTTAATTTATTCCTAACATCTGCAAAAGCTATAGGGATTTTTATGCCACTATATAGGGCTTGTTTCTGTTTTGCTCTTCTGATAAGCCATTATGCTACTATGATTTTCTATGAATTTCACTGATTAGTTGGTTCATTACAATTTACAGGTAGTGGAGGCTATTCTTACTTGTACGAACCACTTTGGTGGGTTGGCATGATAACAAGTGAGTTCTTTTATCGTACAAAATTTGGGTGGTTTTTCTTCTCTTGCTATGTCAATTTATTTAAGTTTCCCATGGCACAGATCATAAAGATCAGTCAAGTTCTTCATCTTTCAAGTCTTTAATTGGTTCTGACAATTTTAATACAGTTTTCTAAAGCCATCTTTGTATATAATTTGTGATCACTAACACACAAGTCTTATGATGTATATGTCGTGCTCTGATCTATGTATGTTGTCCAGTCAACACTTCGTTTGCTTATATTTCAAGCTTTTGTTAATAAGAAGCCCATACTGATACTTGGCTGTAATTTCAACAGTGATTGTTGGAGAAATTGCTAATTTTGCTGCTTACGCCTTTGCACCTGCTATTTTGGTCACTCCCCTTGGCGCTCTCAGTATTATTATCAGGCATGACAGATCCTTGCAAAACCATCCCATATTTAAGTTTATTATTCTGTTATTGAGTTCTGATCTTGTTTCCTTGCAGTGCGGTTCTAGCACATATTATTTTGAAGGAGAAGCTACATATCTTTGGAATTCTTGGTTGTGTTCTTTGTGTTGTGGGTTCTACAACTATTGTCCTGCATGCTCCTCAAGAACGTGAAATTGAATCAGTGAAAGAAGTTTGGGATCTTGCTACAGAGCCTGGTAATGGTCGACATCTTGTTTGCATTCTGAATGGACTATAATAAAGAATGGATTTAAGAATGGAACATTTGATTCCCTTTTCCCCTTGCAGCTTTTCTGTTCTATGCAGCTTTGGTCATAACAGCTGTATTTGTACTGATATTCCACTATATCCCTGACTATGGTCAGACACATATAATGGTTTACATTGGAGTTTGTTCTCTTGTTGGTTCTTTGTCGGTATGTATCGTTATTATGATTGTTGGTAATTTCTTCTGTTTCTTTTTCCATGTTATTTCTTTGCTGTAATTCATATGTTCAAAATTTCTTTTTGGCAGGTAATGAGTGTTAAAGCTCTTGGAATTGCATTGAAGTTGACTTTGTCAGGAATGAATCAGCTAATATATCCCCAAACATGGGCCTTCACTTTAGTTGTAATTACTTGTGTACTTACCCAAATGAATTATTTGAACAAGGTAACAGTTATTTTTTATCTATTATTTTATTAGTTTGTAGGTTTTCATAGCCAGTTTATCTACTTGAATATCTCATTGCGCTTGCCAATTTTATTTTATTTACAAATTTAAACTTTGAGTACCTAGTGCCTGTTTGAAAATGGTGGATGTTGTTAATACCTTTGAGATAATATTTGTCATGATTGTCACTGACTCAAAACTTGGAAAGGGCTTCATACATCAAGTTCCTTGCAGTAGGGCACCCTTTTGTTGCTATCTATTATGCTTTCTATTTTTTTAAAAAAGCAATTATAGTGTGATTAATTGGATATTATAGAACAAGGGGAAACATGATTATGCCATCATGACATGCAAATTTGTGTTCTGTCTTTATCGATGAACTTGTTGTGGGTATCACATTGATGTTGTGCTGCACCAAAATCGTCCGGGAAAGTAATGAGCCCATTAAATGTGCAAGGAGGTTGTATTAGAAAAGATGATTTTTTTTTTTTCCGAAACTGAAAAGAATATTATATCATAGGATATAATTGCTTTGCTTTAATAGGAAGCAACTATGAAAAAGGATGAAATAATACCAGTTAGGAGTCTAAGATGAAGAGAACCAAGTGTTTTTTGGTTTTTGTCTAGGCCTAATATTTGCATTAAATGATTGTTACAATTTTCAAAGAGAGCAACATGATGATGAATATCAAACCACTTTGTATTGACTGTCTAAGCAGTCGGCCATCAGAGGCAATGTTGCCACTCCTATTGGCTGAATCTGACTTACCTTCTCTTAGTGAAGAAGTCATATCTTTCAACTGTATGATTTCTGTGCTGAGGATTGAGTATTTCTAATCTGCTAGTTAATTGGAGTAGAGGGTCAGTTATTTTTTGGTATAGTCAGGAGTATGATGTGAGTCAAATGTCAAATCAAACATTGGGCGGAGCACTTTTATTTTTCTCAATACTTCTTCGGCTCTTTAGCATTGCTATTTGACATTTCTCCTAAAAAGTGAAGGGTTCTTGTGGATCAGTCTGTTCATTTTGTGAACTAGTAAATATTAGAGTTACTAGAATTGTATGAAAGAGAGTTAAAACTGGGAAGCTTTTGAATTGAAAAATTCTGTTCACTGTGTTATAGTTATTAATGTCTAATGGGTCTTCCTGGTGTTTATAAATGAGCCATCAGATGACTTGAATAAATTTTTGACTCGTGGTGAGAGTGCTGTTTAACCATATCTTTTCAGTCGTTGAAGCTTAGACCTAAAATTAGAAGTTGATTTGCATTTATGTGGGCCTTAGACCTAAGATTTTTTCGACTATTTACTGCTTATTTTAGCATCTGCAAAAACAACCTTTGATTGTTACTTTCTCTAATTTTTAATTTTTGGGTTTTGCCTTTTCAGGCACTGGATACATTCAACACTGCTGTTGTATCTCCGATTTACTATGTTATGTTCACATCACTGACCATTGTGGCTAGTGTAATAATGTTCAAGGTAGATTTTCTGCTAACTTCCAATCAAAACATAATGTTGCTTAATTCACCTTTTTTTTATTTTGCTCCGAGTTTTTCATTCCCTTTACCTGAATGATTAGAGATGTTAGAACTTTCTGATGGAGCACATTCTTTAAAAGAATCCAAAAAAGGCTTAAACCATAAAATAAAAATCTGCAAAACTAAAGATTGAAAAGCTTAGTTTTTTGATATATTATATTTGGTATTCTTAGAATTAGGTCTGATGCTTTTGCATTTCTATCATCAACCCTGTTTCAGAGTCTGCTCCATTCCAATTTCAAATAACCATGCTATTACTGGCTCTTATTTCATCTGTAAGTAATAAGCTCTTCAGAATAGAATGTGGCAAAGATTCACGTAGCTTTTAGCCTTCTGAATCTCAGAATTTTACAAGATATGTATCTTGTACTTTAGCACAGTATTGGACCCATGTATGTTCAGTTTGGTTTGTATTTGTTTTTGGCTTATAAAGTTTTTTTTATGCATTTTAATTCTCATTTTGTCAGTGATCATCAATAACCAACATTGAAGTTCAATTGTTTCATAGGATTGGGATAGGCAGAGTCCAACTCAGATTGTTACAGAAATGTGTGGGTTTGTGACTATCCTATCAGGAACCTTTCTTCTTCATAAAACAAAGGATATGGCTGATGGTATGCTCTTGAAATCATTTACCATTGTTATCATCATTATTGTTATTATTATTATTATTATTATTATTCTTAGTCTTCAAGGTTTTGCATATGCAACATGTTGACAATGTTCTTGGTTGCCATGATTTTTTAGGGTCAATGTCTCTGCCTGTAAGACTTCCTAAGCACTCAGAAGAGGATGGCTATGGTGCCGAAGGCATCCCTCTTAGGCGTCAGGAGTCATTAAGACCATCGCAAATTTGAACACCCATCAGCTTTCTACAGACTTGATATTTTGGGGACGCACTACCTGACGTCAACCTGTAGTTTATGAAAGTACCCCCATCAGTTTCTTTTCGGGATACAGTCAGGGAAGGGAAGGTGAGATTTTCCCCTTCCGCGTTTCTTTTTGGCTTCACCATGAGTCTAGCATTAGCTGTTGCCTTGTATACACTCCCCAATTCATACGGAAAGAGTTGGCCAATGTAATTTTGAGCACATTGGTAATATATAGTGCATCTTTATTCCATTTATCACGAATTGGTGAGTTAACAAAATGTTTCCCTTCCTATTTTATTTATATTGCAAGAAAAATATACGTACAAGCTTTTCATTCTTGATAGATGCCTGGCAATATACAGTGCCTCAATTTTTGAATGAAGCATATCCCTCCATGTTTATTGCAAGAATATTGAGCTTGCAAGTTGCTAGTTTGCGACTAATTTGGTGGATGCTTTGCTTGAGAGATTTTCATTTTTGTGCCAATTAACGCGATCAGAGGGAACTACGTACACGCAAAGCAACTTCTTAACAAATTCTGATGCTTAATTCATTATGTCGATTGATGCCATGTGGCCCCATTTATTCTCTTCACCTTTCTTCCAATTCATATCTGATCTATTACTATTGACTTGATGCCTGAGTACCGGAAAATAATTGTGGAGAACCAGATTTTTAGAAGGTCGAATAAGTTTGCTTTGCAATTTCACCATACAATAATAAATTCCCTGCGTTTAACATATTAAACAGGGGTTAGTCACGCTTTATATTCCAAGAAACCTTAACTGAATGTCTTTGTAAGTCCATTAACAAATTTAGAGAGAACCTTGGACGTTATTTCTAAAATTAGACTTCACTCACCTTCCACTCGATTGTTACAAGAAGTCTTGTGTGCTAAATAATCAGAATCTAGGCTGAAAATTATGTTTACTTTTATTTAAGGTGCAGGTCTTGTTTTCATAAAGAAGCCTAAAGAATAAATGCACAAATGAATAGCCCTTTTGATACTGCTAGTCCGCTAATGTATATGGAAACAACAGTACCGCAAGATAGAATGCTTTTGTTCTGACATACCATTGTTAAGAGTTGCTAGTTAAAGAGCAGAAGCCGTAGGCACTTAATTTCGATCAGAACATTACAGAGCAGAAGCTAAACCAAAAAGAGAAATGCTACATAAGATGAAATAAAGCTGTAAATAGCATGGACGTTTAACAATAAGATGAAGCTTTGATAGTTAAACATGTCAATAATCCCAATTCAAAAGTTTCTGCTATTTATTTATTCTCAGAAATGATCTGTGTCAAATGACAGTTTTCTCTTACATAAGATTTTGCATTCTAATCTGAAATTAGATGGTCACAAATAACTCCGCCTGTAAATCCAAAAGAAATTGATTTGGTGCATACCATGCTGTGGAAATTACATTGTTGCATTCCTCCAGTGGAAATAAGCTAAATATGTACATCAATCAATTGTAGACTTATAGTTTGCACATAGGAGGGGAGAGCTCTCACTTGTGAATTTGCTTTAGTAGACCAGTTACAGAACCACAGTGTGTTGACTTGTACTCGCATTTTTCACAGCAAGATTGAAGATTTTGAATGACTTTAAGGCACCTGTTCCATTTCAAAGGGTAATCAGAAATTAAAATTACAGAAACAAAAGATATTATATCATTGGAGGCAGGATTCATTTTAAAAAAAAAAATCACTAATATCATGTAAAAGGAGGACAAGATCAACTTAAATAGTAAAATTGGACTGTGGAGATCTGTTACAACCTTCAGTTAACTAAGATCACATGGAATGATCTGTTAGTACTAGTGCATTATCAAGTCATTAGACCAAGGTGAGGGTGCAAATATCATCCAGCTAAATAACTCAGGGCCAGCCCATGTAAACACTAATTCAATTCTCGCTCAACACAACCATGCACTTAAAAGACCTAGCTAATCAGCATTGAATAATGAGATTAAACTCCTAGACACTGCAAATAGAACAGTGCATACACGAACTCTATACGGGAAGTCATTTACAAAGATGATGCTTTACAGAATATTCCTCTACTATGTTCTAGTCATTAACACATGCTGAATAGCCTGAGCAAAAATTCTAGCTACTGACACATTTTCACTAGCCTCAGCCCTAATCTATAGGTTAAACACTAATATGCTGAATAGCGTTATTACATACATACACACAGAGAAAGTAAGAGAGTAGCAAGGCATGAATTGGCTTAATCAAAGCAGATTAGTTTTAGGATAGAGCAGATATTTAGGAATCATTTTACATTAAGATCTATAGATGTTATTGATATATTTTGAAACATTTGTGACAATCATGGGAGAGAAGAAACAAGTTGAAGTAAATCAAAGATGAACTGATGGTGGTGGTGGCATGCTGGTCAATTAATTCATCAAAGCAGATGACAGTACTGATACCAATTTTGCACAATCATATATCCATTTTTGACCAAAAAAAAAAAAAAAAAAAAAGTTTAGGATAGATTGCAGATTATGTTAGGATCATTTTACATGTAAAGTCTATAGATGTTATTGATGATTATTTGAAACATTTGTGACAATCATAGGGAGAGAAAAAACAAGTTGAAGTAAATCAAAGATGAAACTGATGGTTGGTGGTTTGGCATGCCTGGTCAATAATTCATCAAAAGCAGATGACAGTACTGATAGCCAATTTTTGGCACAATCATAATATCTTTGACCAAAAAAAAAAAAAAAAAAAATAGGTGCAATGGAAAATCTGTAATTTCATTTTATGCTTTTTGTAGAAGTAAATGCGTATATGTGAAATCCGATTTATTTTCTGTTTTTACACAAAAAAAAAAAAAAAAAATAGTGCAATGGAAAATCTGTAATTTCATTAATGCTTTTTGTAGAAGTAAATGCGTATATGTGATCCGATTATTTTCTGTCATTTCTGCCACAGAGGTTGATGACCAAATTCAAAGAGTAATTGATAAGCAGATTCAAATATACAAAAAGTACAGAGTCCTATAAATTATAGTCAGTATGCTTAAAAATCAATTGCATTTGAAGCAACATAGCAAACAGAACTCTTCATTCTTTGATGAGTCCAATTGAAATCCAAGAAAAATTTCCAGTCCATCCCATAAATCTTGTTTGCACCACAATTTATCAAGATGACACCCTTTTTCCTTTGAAAAAAAAATAAAAAATTATGAAAAACTATGAGAAAAAGAGGGAGAGAGAGGTTATTTGATCAACAATAAATGCTAAAACCTATATATACGAGCAAAACCCAAAGGATTATAAAGTCTTAAAAGCGTTCAAATTCAATGCATCGACAAGCTAATTCATAACATTAAAGAATCATCATAGCAATCAAACTGGCTTAATCTTAATATGCTAGTGCAAAGGCAGTCACAAATTTCGATCTTTACGATCAATCCCTAATTATAATCCCAAAAATTAGAATAAAAAAGAAAGAAAAGAAGAGAAAAGAAAGATACTTTTGAGGAAGGAAGTTGTTCTTAGAGAGACAAGCTTGAATGTCGCAAGCTTCTTTCTTGCATGGCTCTTTGCTCTCTTGCGCCATTTCTTTTCCTCCTTTCACTGTCTTCCTATTTTAAAACGGTGTGATTTCTGCAGAAATTTGCTGGTAAAACTGTACCATGGCATTTATTTCAGTTCTTAAGGAAGAGGCGGAAAAGTTTCCTTCAAGGAGAGAAACTTCTCCCTACCATGGATGAAAAATTTTCCATGTCATCCACGACAAGGAGGACAACTTTCCGCTGTTTTCTTTTCCTCTATTTGTAGTTAATTGAAAATGGTTCAAAATAATCAAGGTCATGCTCATATTTTTTATAAAATAATTTTCTCCATGAATTATGTTTATAATATTGACAAAGGTGAACCCAAAAAATTTAAATTAACAAAGGCAAAATTTCTAATACAAAAATTAAAAGAATAAAACGAGGTATGATCTAATTAGTTTTCTCATATCTTGCATAATGAGCGAATAGTGATACATCTTCTATATGAATTCTATACTAATCTTATCCGGTAACTATGTAGTTTAAATATAATAGAGTTTCTATTTATTAAAAAAACTATAGTAGAGTTTTTTTTAACTAATTAAATATTTTTGAAAAAATAAAAAAATATTAATTAAATGTGATATATAATTGATTTTTTTTATTAAAAAATCAAATTTATTTTTTTAAAAAAAAATTAAATAAGACACCCCTTATGTAAGATAAGATGATAAAGATCATTTTTCCCTTCACTAGAGGTCTTGATTTCAAGCTCTGGATATAGAGTCTTTTTAAACGCTCGATAATGAACGTTTTGCGTCTTTATAAATCTATCTAGTAAGGATTCGAATTAATCGGACCAGTGAGTTTCGACGTATGGATGGTTAAAACAAAAAATTAAACAAGGTTAAAACTTGGTGACTTGGGTATATGACGATGATGGGTTAAAGTTTTTTGCTCGGGTCTAAAAACAAAGCCCAAAAGACGAGTCCATTTATCGCAGCCTTGAGAGCCAGGAGAAGCAATAGCTTTGTTGGTCAAGAACCCCTATTTAATGTTGTTTTAGTTTAGTTTCTGTTTCTGTTTTTTCTCCCTCAAAAATGGAAACAACAACACCGTTAATAAGAGTATCCGGGACAAAAGTAAAGCAAGCATCTTTACTATGGCTTGAGGGTTTTAGAGAAGCCTGTTGCTTGCATAGAGTAGTCATTCTCTGCCTCAGGTTTTTTTTTTCCTCTCTCTGTATAATTTATTGCTTCTCTGTTACTAAAGTTCTTTCCTATTTGGTCGCCGAGGGAAAAAAAAAAATCCAATTTCGATATTTGTGAAGTGAAATTTGTAATTCGAAGTTTTATTTTGCATTGGCTTATTGAAAAATCAACTTCTATTTGTGTTTTTGTTGATGTTTTCCGCTTTTTTAATATTTTTTTTGGGTGGCAGGTCAAAGTCGCTTTTGATTAGAACAGGGCAGTGTTTTCTCTTAAATGGTTTCATCTTTTTAGGGAGGTAATCTCTCTCTCTTTGTGGCAGCTCAAGTTTAATTTTGCAAATCAGTTGTAAAATGTCTATTGGGCATTTGGGATAGTTTCAAGTATTTATGGGTTATTAGGCGGTACAGTTTTTGAAATTTAGAGCTAAAGCTAAGCAACTGAACAATTTGGATTCTTGGCTATTCCATTTGGAGCTGCATTTTGATAGAAAATCAATTTGGGAGTTGCTTCTGTAAAATCTGCATGTTCGTGTTTATATGGATTGTACTATGGAGCTTTATCAGGATCAGAATGATCCCTTGGTGGTTTTAATGTTATTGGTTTGATTGATTTCATGGATGTTTTTCGGTAAGACAGACTGACCTAAAATAGAGTATATACCTTAATGTTTATCATTTAATTTTAGACTAAACCTTGACTTACCTTAAGAATCCATTCACACTGTTAATTGTTTTTGTGTTCAAGTAAAATACAACCGTTCTTTTTCCTCAGTATAACAAATTCTTACTGCATAGCTCCAGTGGCGTTGATGGAGGTGATAGGGATTAGAGTGAGATGTTTGATTGCTATAATGTGATTGGGGATGCACTACAAACCACATCAATTGTTCATTAGGGTGGAATGATCTGTATAAACAATTGTAGTCAGAACTATTTTAAACTCTCGGTTAGTCTTTTTTGGGTTATGCATATATATGTGGGCAGTCTTTTTTGGGTTATGCATAGATTTGGGCAGTCTTTTGCGGGTTTAAATCTGGATTTGAGTGCGGATTGTATTACATGCTCATGCATCTGGCCAGTGGTAGCAAAGCCTACTTATTATCTGTTTGTGGGCTTGTGCCAATAAGTCCTTTGGTGCTGCGAACATCTTCATGTATCCTATCATACTATTACTACCAATTAGAACAAGAACAATAGTTTTGAAATCTAATTTAGTTTATTTGCATCTTTGCTTCATCGTTAGATAGGTAGTGATCCTTAGTCATGCATTTATGATATAAATATTTGAATCTTCATTTCCATGCAGTATATTTGTCCTGAACTCGGTTGTCATCCCAACGTTACAATGGATACTACCTGATGAGTATTCTGATATTAGTTCTCAAGAACAATTCACATTTGGCAGTATTTTAAAACTTTATTCCTTTTTACGTGTTGGACTCATACAACTCTTTTATGTAAGTATGCAGATTATACATTCTTATCACTTTTTGCTCTTGCTTCTGTAATATCCATAAAATTTCTTTCTTTCCCTGTAAGGATCCATGGATGGTATTCGGTAATTTCTATATCATGACACTAGTCAAAATCTCTCTAGTTCTACAATTCTCCATTTTGAAATGCTTGAGTGCTGTTTCTTTTGGCTTACTTTTCCTTGCTATATATATGCTTGGTTGTGTACTTCTGGTTCATTTTTGGATAAAGCTTTAATTGAGCTCACTTTCTCAATGCATCCAAATTAACTTAGCATGAACATATTTCTTCTCCATTCCATGAACATCTAAATTTGGGTTCTCCTTCTCCCTTTATCATAATAAGATTTGCTGTTAATGGACACTTTAAAATTTTAGATGGGATCTTGTGATGCATGTACAGTTTACACATTCAGATTGTGGTTGACTTGCTGTTGATAAGTAATTGATGTTCTGATAATACGTACAAAGGATTTCTGTCTGTGAGACAGATATTCGTTTTACTTTTATATCACCATATGTGATTCCTTTCACTGTTTGTTACATGCAGGTTTTTTGGTTCTACCCATTGTATGTATTTAGCTTTATTCTGAGCACTCTCTGGTATCATTCTCTCTTTCTGGTTTACCTTTGCTACTGGCATATTTCGGACTACTTATTTACTTAGTTGTTTTAGCTAGGTAATTATATCCATGATTGGAGATATATGGGACAAACAGCATTGCTCTATTTTCCTTTTCCACATCTCTTTCTTGTGTCAAAACAAAATAATAATCATGAGTGGTGAATATGAGAAGTTGCAAATTTCTATCTGGGTACATAGGTTTAAGCATGAACTATGGTTCCTGATTTGTGAGTTATATCACCACCATGTTTGGAGATAAATTAAAGGGTTGAAATATGGGAATGTTTATATCTTAGTAGGGGATTCTTCCTCTGCAATCCTTTCAAAGTTTAATCTGCTTTATTAATTTATTCTACTTTAAACTAATCTTAATCAAGGTACAATGAAATTGCTAAGTATGGTTTTGCTGCAATGGGAAGAGATGAATGTAAAGCATTGGAATCCTTAAGTGAGAATGAGGTAACAACATCCTCAGACAACACAAGAACAACAGAAAAGCCTGCTGGTCTAGGAGGGTAGAATTCCTACTTGTAATTATTTAGTTTCTGAAACTGTCTTTCCTTCTGGTTGTCAGCATTATTTTTCCCCCTTAAAGGACAATTTTGCTTGAGAATGTCTGCTGTGCTCATCTTTTTGTTGTATATATTTTCTGCAGGGTTATGATTGGTATTGGAGAGCAGGTGTATTCTATACTGCTTTTGAGCTTCTTCTTTTTAGAGGTACAACATGTGTTTGAATATATATGGATGTGGTGCGTGTGTATATCTATTATCTTCTGGTTGAAGTATTCAGTAAAGGCAATGCCATCAGCACGCATTATTTTATTTTATTTTATTCTTGACTTGCACTGGTCTTGGTTAATGTTTACCATTTTGATTTTATACACTGACAACTATATGCAGGTTTATGTTACTGGATTCATACCACATATAGGGAAGGCACTCAATTTTGTGCTTCTTTCCTGGATGTATGCTTACTACTGTTTTGAGTAAGTCATTAATGTGTACCTGGTACTATTTGTTGTGTTGCACCTACTATCAGCTGGGTATTTGCTAATTATGATTCTAAAATTAGGTACAAGTGGAATTTGTCTGAAGTGGCACTGGATAGACGCCTGGACTTCTTTGAATCTAACTGGGCATTTTTCGCTGGTTTTGGTAAAATAGTTTCTTACTGGTGTCTGTTCTTCAAGTGACTTGTGTTTGTACTTCATATTTTCTTCTAGTTGCGCTGTGTGCTATCTCATTTCTATGAAGGTTCCATGCACTAAATTTACATGCTCCTTTTTCTGTTCAGTCATGATCAATAACATCAGAACATGAACTTGCCAATATTCTATTTTCATTCTTATTGGTTTGCTGAATAGGAGGTTTGTGCTAGTGCACATACGGCATTACAAGATGTTTTACACACCAGACTTGCCTTTTTATGTTCTTTAAATTTCAACATTGAGTATTATGGATAAGAGATCCAACATTAATTTCTTCCCCGGATTTGCAGGAAGCCCTTGTGTTCTGGCTATTTTCTTCTTCTCTCCTCTTGTGAGCTACGGTGTCATGGCTATTCTTTTCCCACTGGTAAATATTCCTTTTTGTGGTTTTTAAGTAATTTATCTGTTTCGGTGTTTCCTCATCTCCTCAAAATGACATGCTTTCTTTCCTGTGTCCTGCAGTTTGTTTTGGCTGCAACTGGCTCAGGGGCTGAGCAACTTATCTTCACTCAAAGAAGAAAGTGGAAAGGTTTCGGATTGGGAAGGCTTCCAATATTTTATGTGGCAGATACAGTGTCGTAAGTTATCCACATCTCAGCATCTCTTTAATAAAAAGAACTAGCAGCCTTCAAAATATTGTGCAGTAAGCTGAAGTAAAAAGGTTCTTAGCAGTATTGTCTGTGCTAATAATTTCTTCCAAGAAAATTTATGTGACACTGTTTAACTAAGCCAAATGCTTCGCAATGGAGAAATGACATCTTTTGATTTTGAATTTCAGTATCATATTACATGTCTCCTCTTCTTATATACAGATTGATCGTTTTATCTGTAGGATGCGAATCTTGTCTCTGATAAACTTCGAATCTAAAGAACAAGTGCAAGAGAATAAGGCTCTTTAAGTTCTGACTTAATTCCTACGCCACGCAATCATTGTAAGCAAGCGTTGACTTATTCTCAGCATGCTAAAGATTTAGATTTTTTTTCCCTTCCTTTCTAATTTTTTATTTATTTGCTTATTGTCAATTTAGTACTATATTTTCTTCATTCAACAGTATGCGCTCTCGCTCAAGCAGTTCATCAGAGCAAAACTTCCTAAAGATTTTATAGAAATCAAGTTAGAAGTGGCTCAAAGGTAAACAACAGTTCCCATTGGACTTGACCGAAAGGGAATACTCTGTACTTTGTGTAGATAGAGATCAGATGTCACCTATGTATTATTGTGTATAGCATTTTTAATTAATCATGTATTGCTGATATGTACAAAATAATTATGAAAATTACATTCTGGATATTTGTACTAATCAAACTTGGAAAACTGTGAAAAAGTCTCCAAATTGTGGCTGTAAACAGTTTTAAGATGTGAGACTGTAGGCAATTAAGAGTATCTCCCCCTCTCCTATTTTCTTCTTCTTCTTCTTCTTCGTGTTCTTCCATAAGAAAGTTATTAAACTTTTTTCTTTAGTTTACTGCACAATTTTTGAATTCTGAAATAGAATTTTTTTTTCAGAATTTTTTTCTTTAGGCATACATGAACTCTTCCAATTAATCGGAAGATTTACTTCCCGAGAAATAGAATTTAACGCAAATTAAATACAAGTATTTTATACAGCAATCCAAATATCAGCTATAAGAAAAAAAGAAAAACAAACAATGAAGAAGGAAGCAGCGTGAGATGATATGTCTGACAGATAAGATCGAACAATAAAATTGTGAATGAGATATGATCTAATTTTTTTTTTTATTTGCGACTTATTTAATTCAGCAATTGCGAATAACTATTGGTGTTTAGCAGTTGTAACTATTTAATTGTTAACTGTCAAACTAACAAAAATTTTTTGAAATGTTGCTTCAATTGTTAGATTTACCAAACATATTTAAAACAATATACAAAGACACCAAAAAGAATTTCTAACATATCATTTTCTCATATGTCAAATATTAAAAGAAAAAAACCTATGAGATTACATAAACTCTTTCAATTATAATCCGAACGGAGATTAATAAGATTTGTAGACCGTTAAAACGGATACGGAACACGAATCTGAATATTTGCTGAAGTATAAAAAAAAACTCTTCCAATTATAGAAAGAAAAAGGTTCAAATCAATGTCTAGGGATGAAATCTACAAGCATAGCACTATATGAAAAGAAAATTATTATTTAGTGCATGATGATGACATTGGATAATTTTTATATGGCACAAATTTGAAGACGTGTGGATCCCACAATAAAATCCATTTTCATATGAACTAGGGCAAAAATTATTCTTGGACAAAATCATTTTGCATTTATTTAATCAATGTAATATTAAGGTTGCACTAGGATCATGTGCCCCCACAATTGCAAATCATGCATTTTCCATAATGCATTATGCTTTTAAATAATTCCCTAAATCTTGATCCATACATATCTTATGGGATCCCACATTTGTGGAATTGAAATTTCCTCCTAACATTATTAGGGATATACTTTCATGTATGTTTGGTTATCTTTCTTTTTTCTTCATAGAAATTAGAAATTATTTTTTGTAAATTTTGATTTTCAAGATATCAAATGAAATATATGAATTCCAACTCAAAAATATTTTAAAGTATTTTTTTTTCTTTTCATTAAAGAATAGAATGGATTTCAATTTCATTAATAAAAATCAATCAACAAAACATAGAAGCAATTATTCTCGACAGTGGTATTCAGATAAAACTTCTCAACAATGATAAAAATTGGTATTCAAATAAAATTTTTAATTTTATATTTAAAGTTCATTTAAAGCTACGATTATTAACATTTATGTTTCATTATTAAATAATAAAATTATATGCTAAAAAATTTATAAAATTGCATAAATTATGATATAATTGCTTGGCAAGATAATTTCAGAAATTTAAAAAAAAAAAAAAACAGTTGGGTCCAAAAATTAAAACAAATGATTCCTTTGCTCGTGAAAATGCATGAGGAGAAAGAGAAAGAAGTCTAATCCACCAAAACCGCACATAGCACACCAATGATTGGTGCACGTGAAGCGCGTGGACTTAATTAGTTTTATTCCACAAGACAAAACTTATTTTCTATAACTATGTTACGGCAGATCAGAGCAAACAAAAAAAAACCATCCTGACCGTCCATTCTTAATCGTGGTTTATTAATCCAACGATGATGAGCCACCCGTCATCATGTACTTTCCAGAAACAGTAGCTATTCCACATTTTCAAAAACAAAATTAATTAAAATAATTTTATCTTTTTCGAAATATATTAAAGTCAAAGTAGTAATTTGATCCACTTTTCGTTAAACAAATAATAATTTATTAATCCCTAATTTGGCTTTTAGTTGCGGAAATTGCGGGAATAGTGGTGCCTAAAGAAATATTTGTTTTATGGCATGGAAATATAATAATAAGAAAACAATAATTACTATTTAGTAATTTTAAATTAATATTATAATTTTGCTTAAAGAAGGGATGAAAGTGGAGTTTTGTCTGTTGTAAAGTGAAATTAAGACGGCAAATTGACTGGATTGACTCTATGTCCAATTTGATTTGAATGACTGTGTCCAATTTTCATTTTCAACATTTTCCACCTTTGCTTTATTATATATATATTTTTTATTTTATGTATAATGATGAATATTACTATGTGATGCAAAATATTTATTATAGGTTCATTTAAAAAAAAAAGAAATTATTATCCATTTCAAAAAAAGAAAATGTCGGTTAAACATAGGTAGATGTTTTTGTGCAATTGGTATTGGAAATTGCACCTCTACTATAAACCTTATTTTTGTCAAAATTTTATAAATAAAACCTAGGAAATGCCAATTTTGGATTACTATTATTGCTTTGTTTTAGGAACTCAAATATAAAAATCTTTTTAGTTGTCATGTATCTATAAAATAATCAAACAAATAAATATTTTTTGAATTTCCAAAAAAGAAAATAGAAAGAAGACTACTTAGGGGTTGACAAAAAAAAAAAAAAAAAAAAGGGGGGCCAAACAAAGCATAAATAGCTAAAAACTGCAGGAGATCTAATGCAAAACATGAAAAATGATTAAGCAATGAAAACAAAGAAAGGGCCTTTTCATTTGAATTTATACTGTGCGAGTCAAAAACAAAAGTCTATTCTCAGTTAGGGTCTGTAAGTTAAATTTAAATAAATTTAAACAAAAAATGGAAAGCTTATTTACCTATATATACTACTACTATTACAGGCCACTTGAGGTTGACTCAACTTTACAACTCATTGAGTTCTAAATGTATTATACACTAATTGATTTTTCCATTTCCCAGAATCCAAGAGGAAAATTAGAACATTGATTTTTTTTTTCAAAAAAAAAAAATATTAATTTAGTAAGTTAAAAAATGATGATAGAACAATAAAATAGTATGTCTTCATTTGTATTTTTTGTATTCCGGAAATTTTTTGAAATTTGTTTATAGTTCTTAAGCAATTATCATGAGTAATAATTAGATTCAAACAATCTTCCGAAAATAAGGGAGGATTTGGAAGCACAAGGAATTGGAAGCTGCTTAAGAAATTAAGGATATCATCAAACAATGAACAATTCATAAAAGAATATATTTTATGAAAAAACTCATTAAATGTGCTTCTTTTATAGTAATCCATCCTTTTTCTTTTCTTAATTTTAGCTCCAAAATAAGAATTCCTCAAACGCCAAAGCTTTTTTAACTCGGACCCCTCCCAATTTTGGGGAAATTAAAACTTTGATTGTTTAATTAAGTTCCTTCTCCGTCCTAACTTTTTTCTAAATAGGGAGATAAAAAAGATATTGTGGTTCCATATTAATTATATTTCCTCCCCTCCTTATATTTTCTTTTTTCTTCTCCATATTTTTCCTTCATTTCTCAACACCAAATGAAGCCTTCCTCAATTTTTTATTCCCCTCTCCTCCCCATTTTCAGCAATCCAAACACCGCCAGTGGTAAAATGTTTTGCCACCAAAATATACCTTTTCCAAATTGCTGTTCTTTACAAGTTGAACTGTAATAACAATTAGTCTCCATTCTTCTTCTCATCAATGTAAAAACCACGGGAAAGGAAGCCAAGGAGTCATACTCACTCAAACGCAACAGCGTGACTAGCACTCGGATGAAGATCTAAAGACACAGTGTCTGCATTAAAAGATGACACCAATTGACTTGTTTTTTCTACTTTTACACAAAGAGAAAAGCAAAGACCTAATGTATGAGAAGGGTTAAAAAACCCAAACTGACTAACTCACAAAAAAAAAAAAAAAAAAAAAAAAAAAAATGGTCTAAACAACAACATGCTTTATTTTCTTAATCATCATTTGTTAACCATATTCCAACTTCTTTGATAAAAAGAGCAAAGAGGCACATTGACAGTTTTACAATGTCGCAACAGCTATGTTCGCTCACGAGCCTTACTATAGGTACAAAACAAAAGATATATTAAAGGATCTCTTTCCAATTTTCATTTTCTTGCTTTTTTGCATTTTTTAGAAAGAAAAAGACCACTTTTTGCCTAAGCTACAAAAAGAAATTTAAGAAAAAAATGCAAACTAATTATAAAAATAAACTGACACTTCTCTCTCTTATTTTTCTTTTCTATTTTTTTTAACTCTGATACCTTTTGCATTCTTGTACACATTTTTGCCTCTTACTCAAAACATAAGCTAAACACAATAATTTATAAAGAGTAATAACACAAAAACAATAATCCCTTCCTCTTATTACAAAAAACCTCTCTCCCTTATTATCCAATCTTTTTTTTTTTTTCTTTTTTGATATTTTTGTGCCGATATTTCTATGGCAACCCTAAGTAACAATTACACCTCTCAAAGTACTTCTCCCACATAATCTAATCTATGAAGAATTTCAAAACCCCCGATAAATTAACAAAACCACCAAACCAACAACTCAATAATGGCAGACCATTACTAAGAGATCACCTGAAAACTCTCTATCCTCCCTATCATTATCTACACCATCCAGTATAATTTCATCATTAGAGAAAATTTTAAACACAAATTTCTTAGCTATGCTCCTTGGTTAATTTCCTATTGTTAATGCAATCAAGAGCAATTATATTGAACACAACTTAATAAGGTGTACCAATTCTTTTCCCTGTCATGAGAAACTATTGGGACCTTCATCTCCACTATTAGATACCTTTGACGGTTGCTGGTGTTGATCTAATGGATTTTGTTTTGCTCAGAGTTTCACTCATTTAAACCTTACCCTCCTAGAATATGCATTACAGAAGCAGCCCTCACATACGCCCGGAAATTGACTCAGCCACCAATGCCTAACCCCAGATGTTGTGGAAGTTGTTGTTGCATTAACATGGAACCTAATTTGCAAAGCGCGATTTCCTCTTTCCACCTTCGAAATTCAAGATTACCTGGTAGATTAAATCTTGGAACAAAAATGTAA